GCGTTTATCTTTCACTGATCCATTTATCGAATTTCATTACATAGCTTTGTGGCAATCCAGTCAATGGCTCAGATTCTACGAAAGAAGTGCTCTTACAAATATACCAACTTCTAAATTTCCAGCAAAGTATCCCTACCATCCTAAAAGATACTGGGCGTTGACACACCATGTGGCCGTCAGCCAAGTGATTCTAGGTGTTATCATGTGTAAAGCTGCCTGATTATTAGACCAAATTATGATTTGCTGGTTAGATAATTTTCCCGTGCGCTGAAAAAAATTAAATACAGTTTCGTAAGTTCTAGACCCATTTGTAAATAAGTTTTGTCCTTTAGAAATGATAACATCTGGATCCTCCTTTTCAGGCAAGTTTACCAAGTATCTCTACTTTGAAAGGTCAGTCAATATGAAAGATCGCAATATAATTTCGACCATTGTAAAAATGTCGGTTATCTCTGTATCAGTTGTCATTAAAATTACGCGATGTCACATTATCCTCTTTTCGTTGAAGTTTGTATGTAGCCTATAAGAGATTATGGCCAAAAATTGGTTATAGTAGACGCATAATTCGACTATAACATTTATAGAGAATATAAGAAATTCTAGTTTAGCAACATTGTTTACAAAGTCCTTGTTGAAAGTAACATTAATAACTTCGTCACTAGACCTAAAACGATGTCATTTACAAATTTGACAAAACTGACATTTAAGTTACTATAAGTCACTAAGAACGGCCGTTTTATAATTTTCTTGTTTTACAAGATCACGTGAAATTCGGGTATTGTTGAAAACTCTGTGGTTTAAAAGCCATAAAACTTTGTCCTCTTTAGATAAACGGCGTTTAAATGCCTTTTTGGAAATTAATAGTTTAAAGACCGACAAATGAGAATGGGCAGTTTTGCCCCACCCTGCAATACGAGTAAGATATATGCCAAATGAAAGATATCAGTAAGGAGAACATTTGTTTTTATTATGACTTCTTTCTGGCCCATTTGCGCCGCCAGTCGTCACGAAATAAGCGAAGCTTAAAATGGAAAAATGTCAGTTTAAGCTTGGCTTATTTTTTAACGACTAGCTGTGCAAATGAACCTCATTTATCGGTCCGTTCCAAGTTATAGCATAGTGCATGTGTTAAAATACAGGTTTTTTTTTTGTTGAAATCCGTCTGTTTTAATTCTGAAATCTCTTTTGCTAGTGGGTTCTAACGTAAATTATCCCCTCCCCACGCTTGTCATGGTAACGACTAAACGAAAACTCAAATCCCTTGGTGAGGAATTGCGAAGTTGCAAAGTTATAGATGATTTAATTTCACTAGAATTTAACTGAAATCAGTTACGGAGAAACTATTGCCATAGTAACAGTTGTCATGGTAACGACTAAACAACACCCATATTCGGTGGAAAGGAAATGCGTGGATGTAAAGTTATACGAGCTCTAATCACTATATGTTCGACCTTTTCATGTTTTTATTTCAGATATTTATTAAGAAACATATTTGTTTATGATCAAATTCCTAAATTTTTTTGGAATTGCTTCACCGCGGCCCATTTTCAATAACAAATAAAAAAATTACGTTAGAAACTGTCACCAAGATACCGTCACACTTTCAACAACTTAAAAAGTCAAACACGTAAAAAATTCTAAACGTCAAAAATTCCAAAGCCAACAAAATAAGTTAGTAGTCGTTTTCTTTTTACAAGCATACTTGACTAACTAAAAGTTAGATTCTGATCTAAGCTTAACTGTAAAAAGAACGCGAATTTTGGTTGACAGGTGACCTGCCCCATGTCATCCGTTTAAAAACAATCCATATTTTAATCAAATTTTATAATTTTTTCAACATTCAACACTACAAATCTCACCCCCTGTTATCATAGTCTTTTATTCTCTCTAAAATAATGAATTCATGGGATATGTTTGTTCATATGATGCACAGAACACTCACTTTCTGTGATGGTTTATGGTTGACGTCAAGTACCGTGCATCTTATCATCGGTAAGGGGGGAAGAAAGATTCTGACTTACAATCATAAAAAGAACGTTCATCTCAGCTTAGTCGATGTAAGTTAGCTCAGATTAGTTGTAAAAAGAAAACGACTAATGTTTATTAGGTCTTTTCTCCTTTGCATCGAAAGTGTAGCACTGGGCTACACCAATTCTGAAAATATCGTTCCATATATACAAATTGTATGGATGGAACAATAGCTCAGTGCTACACTTTCGATGCAAAGGAAAAGACCTAGTATGTGCGTCAAATACGTCAAAAATTCTAAACGTCAAAAATTTCAAAGCCTCCCAAACATTAAATTTAATAATTGCGGAGGATAATGTTCGAACATTTAAATGGTCATCTATCTTTCGATTAGATAGTTTTTTAAAAAAATTAAGATCATGGTGCGTCATGCTTCTCACAAATAGAAACATCAACAACTATTAAATTTAAGTAATTTTTAAAAAATAGATGTTCTTCAACCTTAAGTTTCCTAATATACAACGGAAATAAAATTATAAAAAGGCCGAACATATAGTGGTTAGGGCTCGTAGATGATTTAATTTATCTTTAGCTGAAATCAGTTACGGAGAAACTGTTGCCATGTTACTTGTCATGGTACCAACTAAACAAAATCTCGAATTGAAAAAATGCATAATTACCAAGTTATAGATGGTATAATCTCACTTTAGTTTAGCTGAAAGGCATTTTTCCTGCAAGCCTCCTACTAGCTTGTATGAGAAACGCCTTCTACATATTACTTTCATTTTATATTGTACTTTGTAATTAAAACGGTTGTAATGTTTAGAATTTTTCAATGTTAATACTTTTTAGATAGAAACTTTACACTGTAAATTCCAAATTATTTTTGAATTATAGCTCCAATAGATATTTATCTTTCTTTATAAAAGTAATTTTTAAAAAATCATGTCATAGTCTGGACCGACGTATATAGGAAGTGTTACAAATGGCTTTTTATTCGTTCTAATGTAACTGGGGTAATAATATTTATGATTGTATTATTATGTTTGTCCATTACCTTGGTCTGTGGCCCTTCTACCTGTTCCTTTGGAGGACATACGTGAGGCCGTGTAACTAAGTGGCGGATACTGCATAATATAATATATCCGGATATTATAATTTTTGATATTACTAAGAACTAATAATTATTATTTGCCTGTAATAAGCACTACAATAACAATATAAATACTGACATATCGTGCAATTAATTACATTTAGGATGTTATAACTCGGAACGGACAAGTAATTGAGATGAGTCGTAATGAAAAGAATCATTCAATTGGTATATAACTTATCCTTATTGGGGGTGGGGCAATTTCCCATACATTTCTGTCCAAAGTCCTTACTAGTTACCAAAATCATGTTCTAATCCCCCTAAGTCCTTCTCTATCATATTTAGGCCTTTTACAGCCCGAACTTTTTCTGTTACTAAGAATATTTGATGAAGTGAGTCACTTCTCCGAAACTCTTTGGATACGCCCATGTTTTATTGCAGACTAAACGCCTACCTCATCCGGCGATGACGGCGGTGTCAAAAAAGTTATTAATTCTGATCTCGGCTAGTCTAGAACGCCTGGAATTCTCACGAACATACCTGGAGCGCCCACTTTTCATATAAATAGCACAACTTTGTCGTAATAAGTTTAGTTTAAGTAGAGATATTGTTATGTAAAGATATAGTTAGAGATCAATTGGGTTTAAAATATTGTTAAATATATTAGTACAGTAGAACCTCGATTATACGGACCAGTGGGGACCGAGCCTTTGCCGGATAATCGAAACCACGAATAATCTAAACACATTTTAAATTTTTTTAATAATTTGTTTAGACAAATACTTATGTCAAAGGAATAAAGAAACATGCGACAAAAAATTAAAATTATAATATTTATATATTATAGTGAAAGAACTTAAATTGATTGTACAATACATATTATTTTGATATATATGGATCAAAATTAATTTAGTGATGTTTTCTTGTTGTCAAAATTGATTAATCAAAAATTAATGGGTCATGATCTGGAAATTAAAAAATTATTTAAAAATACAGAATATTTTAAAAAAACAAATGACAGGCCGAATTTAAAAAAAGATAGTTTGTATATGTATATGAATATTAATCTGTAGGAGATAATAAAAAGATAAAAAAAAAAATATAAAATTTATTTCACATTATAGAAGAAAATAACAGCAGATAGCAAAACAAGGGTAGAACCAGTTATAAGTTGGTATAGGATAGTAGAAACAAGCCAATGTGTGAGAGACCAGAGAAAAATGACAAAAATAGAAAATCTTAAATAAATTTTATTTTAAATTAATTTTTTTGTACATTTTATAGTATCAAAACTTTGATCGAAAAATGTCTATCGGAGAAAAAATAATTTTTAAATGTTTTCAAACCCTTTTCTATGATATTACTTTTACAGTAGGTGATATTTTTTTTAATAATATTAATATCTATACCTTTGTGATCATAATCCGCATTAAAATTAATAATAATATCGATTCAGGTTTTATTATTTTTTGATACTCGCGTAGGTTCATTTACCGTCATTCTAAAATTATGCGCTTCAAATAAATCTATTATTTCATTAATGTTTTTACTTTTTGCAACAGCCATGTAATCTTCATTGGAATCACCGTTAATAATAGTATTGTAATCTTTGTTTTGTTACCTTTTCTAAAAAACAGAAAATTTACCTTAACATTCAAAGAAATACAAACTAAGAAGAAATCTTTAATGAATGGTTTATTTTTGTAATTTCTTTGAAATGTGTTCTTTTTTATTTATATATAGGGTGCCCCGTAAATACCGACAACCTTTTAGAGGTGGTAGGAGATATTAAAATTAACATTTTTTATATCCTCTACCACCCAAAAGTTTGTCGGTACATTTACTTATACATCTCTAAAAAAAACTAGCCTAATTCGAAAATTTAGATGATTATTTTATCTTTGATTGCATTGTAATATATGTTTTCGTATTTGTTTAGGTTTGGACAACCTAGAGATTTTGGACCTCCATTTATGAACAAAGATCCACCGTTCAATCAACCTCTTCCCCAAACTATTCATAGCATTCAGCCACAAAGGCTGTACCAAGATATCGCGCCACCGGGAGTAGACGATGATATTGGTCCACCTGGCGTGGAAGAATACAAACCGTCCGAGAAAAAAGAGGTTTCCAAGAAAGAAGACAAATCTGACAAGCGCAAAGAATCGTCGGACAGGAAACGCAGACATGATAAAAGAAGCAGAACCCCGGAGAGAGAAAAACGTTATAGTCCTAAACGAAAATCCAGATCAAAGGATAGGGGAAAGGAGAGCCCTGATAAACATAAAAAGAGAAGGCGAGATTCTTCTGATAAAGACGATCGCAAGAAAGATCGCGAAAAAGATTCCGACGAAGAGAAATCCAAGAAAGGCAAAGATAAAAAGAAGCACAAAGATAAAAAGGAATCTGAGAAAAGAAAGAAACGCGATAAAAAAGAAAAACATAAGAAAGACTCTAAAGATAAAAAATCTAAAGAAGAATTCAGACAAGTTATTCCAAAACATACCGATGAAGACGATGATGAAATCGATGACGAAGCTGAAAAGAAAGAAAAGAAAACCGTTAATGAAAAGAAACGATCCGAAAAAGACAAGCCTAAGAAAACTGAAAGGCAGAGGGAAGCTCCCGAAGAGGAGAATTTAGACGATAAAAAGGAAAATATAAAATTAGATGAAAAAGAAATTGAAAATCCTGTAAATAAGGAATTAGAAGAAGTTAAAGGATCAGAAAACACCGAAATAAGTGAAGAACCATCATATAAAAAAGAAATTACTCCAGAACCAACTTCTTTGAAATCAGAATTGTACGGCGATTTGTTATCCGAAATTGACACGAATGTGATAGAAAATTATGGAAAACTAGACAACGATTCTCCTTTCGAAGGAAGGGACGAGGGAGTAAATTTGCCAGCTCCTGACGATGAAACCGAAATGACAGAAGATGGTGAAATTAAAGATTACGAAGACGAAGAAAAAGACGTTTTAGAATTGCATTCCAGCGATATGGATTTAAAAGCTGAACTAGAAAAAAGCGATATATTAGCTCCTGTTCCGGAGAAATCAAAATGGGAAGTGGATGATGATGGAGCGATAAGTCCTAAAGATAACAGTAAATCAGATTCTAAATCTGATAAAAACGGAAAGGTAACAAATGAGGTTTTAAAGAGAGCCGAGAATGCCATATTTGCCAAAGCAATAAACGCCATTAGACCAATAGAAATAAAAAAGATTGGTTCCGAACGAGCAAAGTTGTATTCCGGTGAAAAAGATGCAGAAAAAGTGCACGTCATTGCAGCTCCAGTCAAAACCGATGCTCCACCCGTTAGATTATCAGTCAAAGAACGATTAGGAGTAAAAGTAGAAGATACCGATAAAGTTATAAATCTAAGCAGAAGATCAAATACTATGTCGCCTTTTTCAAGAAGAGGAGAAAGTGGAAGGAATATTGCACTTGGAGAAAGACGCGTTGAAATTGATGAATACAATAAACAACTAAGACGATCTAGGTCGCGAAGAATTAGTCGAGATAGACAAAGAAATAAAAACGATAGTAGGAATTTATCTCGAAATGACAGTAGAAGAACTGATCGCAAAAGGGAAAAATCGAAAAAAGAAGAAAGAGCTAAAAGCGAAGATGACAAAAAATCCAAAAGAAAACATCGTTCCAGAACACGAAGCGAAAGCGATGATCGAAAAGACAAACACAAAAAGAAGGACAAAAAGAACAAAAAAGAGAAATCTAAAAAGAAAGACGATGATCAGAAGACTGATAAAGAAGAAAAAGAAGAATCTGGTACTACACCCGCAACCGCTAAGCGTAAAGCCACTATTGATGAAGCTAATTTCGAACCCGATTACGATGAGTCGCATTCGGAAGATGATGAAAGAAAAGATAAAAAGAAATCAAAGAAAGAATCTGAAAATAGCTCTAGTTCCGATTCCGATTCGTCTTCGAGTTCGGAAGAGGAACGCAAGAAGAAAAAACATAAAAAACATAGAAAAAAGAAAAGGAGAGAATCAAGTAGCGACAGTTCTTCTGAAGAATCCGACTCCAGTGATAGTGATAGAGATCGAAAGAAAAGAAAGCATAGGAAAACCAAAAAGAAGAAAAAGAAATCAAAACACAAATAAGCTTAAGTTTGAATATAACACTTTGTATAATTTGTTAAGTAAATACAGTGGATGTTTATATCACATTCTTTTTTGTATATATTATATATATATTTAAGTCAATGTGTATTGTACTGAAAACTTATTAAAAATAAATACACTGCATATGTGTGTTTTTCTCATAGTTGTTTTAAAGATTTAAGTTGGTAGGTAAAAGATAGTTAAGACAACAAAGTCAACAGTGAATCGAGGAATAAAGTAAGAAGTGAGTTTTAATAATAAAAAAAGTACTTTTTTTAATATTAATTTTATGCAAAAAAAAAAATATTCATAAAAAGTTATGTCTAAAACCTAAAATATAACCATCAGATATCAAATTTTTTTTAGTTATATACGAAGTTTGTCGAAAAATATGAATTTTTTATGAAAGAAAGTTTTATTTTTAACAATATCGAAAAATTCTTGTAGTTTATAAATTTCAACTAGTGTTTTAACGATTACTGAAAAAAAAATTGTTCATTGCTACTACCAAGAAGAGTTGGTAAAAATAACAAAATCGATTTTTTTATGGTAGGTAGATAAATATTTTTAACAATTTTCTTTAAAAATCGAATTTTAGGTCAAATTTCTCGAATACGAACCATTTTAGGAAAATCATGTAAAGGGCCAAAATTGTTCAGAATAACATTACAAGCAACTTTTATTTGAAAAATGTTTTTCTCCAAGTATATTCCATAGAGTAGAAAGACGACCCTCTATAAATTACCCCACATATGTCCCGACTACACCCTAAATTTATTCAATTCACCGCAGAATGGATTAAAGCTTAAATTAAAAATTTGGTGTTTTCTCTTTATCCGTTTTTGAGTTATCTTTAAAATATTCGAAATTTGCACTTTTTTCAAATATCTCGAATACGGTCAATTTTTGGAAAATTATGTAACTATAGTATAAAAATTATAAGACTATTATTACAAGCAACTTTTATTTGAAGAATTTTCTTTTCCAAACGTAAATAACAGATATATTCCATAAAATATAAAAATGAACCCCTATAAAGTACCCCCCCCCCCCCCCCAGATGTTCTGACTCTGCTCAAAATCTAATCATTTAACCGGAGACCGGAATAAAGCTTAAGTTTAAAATTTGGTGTTTTCAAAAAATCTGATTTGTCCAACACATGACTTGCCTATCTAGTTATTACAGGCTTTTTCCGGTTATTTTCTACAGCCTATCGTAGCACCTCTGTAAATGTTTAGAGGATAAACTAAATATATACACATTTTCGACATCTAAATCGAATTTTTTTTTTATATACATATATTCATTGCCAACGAAATTACTGAAAAATTAAAATGTGGCACGTTTCCTAAAAATTTTTAGTTTAAAAATTTTCTTAAAAATCAGAATTTTGCACATTTTGCCAAATTTCACGATTTTAGAAAAATTTTGTATGGAGCAAAAATAATGAGAATACTATTAGAAGTAACTTTTATTTGAATAATTTTCATCTCGAAACGTAAATAACATATTCCATAAAATATAAAAATGACCTCCTATAAAGTACCCCCCCCCCAGATATTCCGACTCTGTCAAAAATTTAATCATTTCACCACAGGCTAGAAAAAAAACTTAAGATGAGAATTTACCTTTCCCACAGGACAGGCGTTGAGCGGTGTGGTCGGAAGTATAAAATTCGGTCTTGGGAGAAGCCTATATACTATAAAATGTGTTTTGCGACCGATTTCTTCAATGACACAATGTCCCGTAGTGTAACGATTACGAGGAAATTCGGTATTGAATGTGCTGCGCCGCTCCAGAAGTAATGAAATTCATCCTCATCGGAGCAAAATCGACCATAAAATGTAACTTTTTGGTGTATAACCAGATCAGACCGCATATGTTTTGTAAACATTTTTACATTCTAAATGGGGCTTGACAACTTTTTTATTGTGTTCGACTTTTTAAATAGAAAAAAAAAATTGTGAATTTTTAAAAATTCCGTTTTTGAGTTTACATAGTTATAATTCTAAGACTAATTGAGATATCGACTTGATTTTTTTTTAGATTAAAGAACAAGGAAAACTGGTTCTAAGAATGCTCATTTTACTCGGGGATATTCATAAATTTGTTTAAATAGTCAAATATAATTTACACAAAAATGTATCAAAATTTTCAGTAATCGAAAAAAAATTTTTGGGTACATGGAGCGAAGCAAACTGGGCTTAAAAATGTTTCCGATAAAAAAATCGATAGGAATCGCCATTTTTGAGGTATGAATTTTTTTGTTAACCATGCCGTCTTGAAGGAGCGCGCTTAATACATTATGATTAGACGTCGAATTAAATAACGTAATAATCATGGAGATACAAACACGAAATTAATCCCGCATACAATTAGTTAATTTATTATTATTACAAGGCAACCGGTTTCGGCTAAAGGGCCATCATCAGGCATAGAAAGGAAGTAAACTTAAATTGAGTACAAGATAAAATAGCAGAAATTTTATAAAAATAAACAACTGATATAATATGGTTACATATAAATAACATGATATCATCAAGAAACGCAGCTGTCAAAAAAATAATGAATTGAAGTCACAAACGAGAAACAAACAGCATACCTCGACTAAAAATGAAATTAATTCAAGTGAGGAATTCACAAATTGCTAATATTTTAAAAACCAATATCTGAAGGGAATTAGTTTCCATGTAGGTCTATATAATTGGAATTTCAAAAGAAAAACAAAAGTAAGAATAATACTATAATATAAGCTATAATAAAAAAATATTTAAAATTTGTCTCGTACTTCTAAACATCTTAAAATTCTACTATCTACAGGTTCTGGAAGAACGAATAGTAGATAAAAATTAATAATTTTTTGTTGAATTTTGTTTTTTTAAAAATCATCATTCCTTTCAATTTTTTTAATTCTCAGTCCACACACAAAAATAAGAATATTTATATTGTGATACATGCGATTGTCCTTGAATTTAGTAATACCAATTGTGTACTTGGTTCATCGTACCGTCCGTCTTCCAAAAAGTAATTTTTCTTTTTTCAATGGCTTCTTGGATAAACCTATCTTAGGATGCCTAAGGACACCTAACTTCTACAATGGCCTCATCCGGAGATGCGACAAAATCTAAATTATCTATAAAAAGTCGACACTGTTTGATTTGTTTTTGCAATTTTATTTCGGCAGCTTTAATTGCAATTTTTTCATATCCATGTTGGGGGGGCTTTAGAAAAAAAATTGTCGGACTATTGATTTGATTAAAAGTTTAAATGGAGATTTTATGTTTTTTACATATTTCGTTGAAGTCACTCTCTTTTTCGTTCGTTGATCCACATGTCATTGTTGGCTTGATTTCTAGTAAGCCTCTCCATATTTTTCGTTTCAAATTGCGAAAGATGTAAACTTTCTAAAAAATTGTTTCTAGCTGCCTCGAATGATACTGTATCTAAATCTGGCTTTTGGCAGTTTGGACCATAATATATATTTTTCTGTTTTCGTACTCTCTTTTCTTCTGCTGCTTCCTATATTTCTGTTGTGAGAAACAATAGAAGCATGACACTGAGTTTGGTATGACCATTTTAGAATATAACTTATTCTTTTGCCACCAGAATATCTGACAATAACATTAAATTGATCGACTTTTAAAATTAAATACTGACCCCAAATAAATGAATCATGAAAACATTAGGTAGGTATTCATTATTAAAATAATTAATTACCTTAATCACCTTACTTACTTACCTTAATGTTGTTAGGTTCGCGGATGTTGTTTATATAATTTCGTAAGAGATGATTCTTACATTCCAATTTTTTCACCTGAATATTGTATTCATAGTACGGATTACTGTCCAATATGGATTTAAAACAGCTGCTATCGCCAGCACATACCATTTTATTGTAAATTAAAACCGTACATTTTTACGCTATTTACGAAACCGTCTGTAATAATATTGGCTTCCATTTCACTTGCACGTTCCAGTGCAAAAATTTCGATTTGCTGTTACGAATTTCCATCCTACGAACTTATTTCAAAACAATAAAATAAAAAAATACGTCAGTACAATGTAAAGTTGAAACTATGTCCCTCTGATAGTACTTTTCTGATTTTTTTTAACAATAAGAAAAATCAGACGTAGGGATAAATTAGAACTTTATTCTTAAAAAGGTATGTAAAAATCCACTCCCATATGAACAGAGATCCAAATGTACTTGACTAAAAAATATTGTTCGTTTCCCAATATAACTAATAGTACACGTATCGGATAAATGTTCCACCGAAAACGAAGCCTAAATCTTTATTAACCCTCGTAAAATAATATGCAGCTGATGACGGAAATCATACATAATAGGTCTTTTCCTTTGCATTTGTATAAATGGAACGATATTTTCAGAAGTGGTGTTGCTCAGTGCTACACTTACGATGCAAAAGAAAATACCTATTATTTTCATTCATAAATCTATAGTCAGGGGCTGGTAACTCAAATGGAAAAACATGAGGACGGTAATTTAGTACCACTCCAATTAACGGGATGGCGCTCGTATCGAAATGTCATGTTAGTTGTCAGCTTGTCAACAGAACTTCAAACTTGGAAAAATTAAAATGGCTGTTGCATTTGTAGGTGTATTGGATTTTGATTCATCTAGATTTATTTTTCAACACCTTCCAATTTTAAGCATGTTTTCATGAGATGGGAACATGGATTTCAGCAACGAACAATAGCTTTGTTCGCGGAGCCTGTCGGCGACATGTCCACGACAGATGAGCATGCGCATTTCGATTTTAAGCGTTCGATTTTCAGCTCTACGAACGCTTAAAATCGAAATGCGCATGTCCAACTGTCGTGTACATGTCGTTGACAGGCTCCGCGAACAAAGCTATTAAAGCACTTCCAGATATTGGTAGTGATGCAATTTATACCACGTATTTAAGCCATATTCGAGAGGTCGACTGATTTAAATATATTTCATGCGGTTTGAAAACGGTTTGAACTATTCTCATTCGAGTGACCAAACAATGAAGTCACGTTCAATTAGGTTTAAACCAGGTGCATCTGTATTTGAAACATTTCATTAAGAACGGTTCAAGGAAATAGAAATGTCATTAATGTCAAAAATAGTAATGAACATAATAGAGCATAGTTTACAAAATAAAATTAACGATAAAAAAGATTTTTTATATTATGGTTATAAATGCATAATTATGAAGGTTTATAATTTTTCATAAAACTGGCAAAAAATTATCTATTGCTAGAGATTTACACACTCACATATCGTTAACTGTTAATGACATTGTTTTAAAACCGTCTATTTGAGCGCATTCAAAATCAATTACGTAGTATTAAAACTGGTTCTAAAAGTTGTTAAAAATATTTTTAAACCAAAGAGACCGCTCGAATATGGCTTAAATATGAGGTCGTCATATTAAGGACAACCAAACACTTTGTAATAAGTGTCTTAAGAAAAATGCATCTTGTACTGGCATTAATGGTAAGTATACTATTTCCTTGAACCGTTTTCAATGAAACGTTTCAAAAACAGATGTAGCTGGTTTAAACCTATTTCAACGTGACGTCATTGTTTGGTCACTCGAATGGGAATAGTTCAAACCGTTTTCGAACCGCATGAAATATATTTAAACCAGTAGACCGCTCGAATATGGCTTTATTTGCCACTCCAAGTCGCAAAACTTTTACAAAGGTCTTGAGCACTTATATATGCTGATTTTGTTACAGAAAACATTTTTGATAGGTTTGTGTTATAAATATTTAATTATTTAAGTGGTGTAAATGCATATTTGTTTAGAGTATTTCCATGTTTAAATAGACAAATTATATGATGCGGCGTTAATTTACTGTAATAAAAATAAAATAAATTGCATTTTATTTCAAGTTTGAAATTAAAAATATAATGAAGTAAAATCAAATAAAGATATAAATTGGCAAAATATTTGACTAGTTTCAAATCACAAAACAGTCAATATGGTTGTTTTATGATTTGAAACTAGTCAAATATTTTTCCAATTTTTTTGCTTTATTTGATTTTCTTCATTACATTTTTGCGCTACTACAAAGTTAAATTTCAAAAAGCCCGCTCGTGGCGGCCATATTGAATTTTAGTACCACTCCAATTTGATAGATGGCATCACATCGACTCAGAATTTTACCATTGAGTTTCCCATCTATACACATTAGTAATCTATGTCTATAGTTCTAGAAATTTTACCAGCGGCAGCACTTTCCAGTGCAGAATTCTTGATTTGCAGAGATATATGAGCCCCCATCCTATGACTTTATTTTAAAATATACAATAATATAAAAAATACGTTAGTACAAAGGAAGGATGAAACTATGTTCCTCTGGAAGTACTTTTTTGAAATTTAATTTTGTTTAAACAAAAAAAAATCAGAGCTGGTAAAAAATTCAAAATTTTAGGAATTATTTTCTAAAAAAGTATTCAAAAATTAGAAAATCCTCTCCCAGACGAACATAGATAGAAGTATACTTGACCAAAAAATATTTTTTGTTTCCTAAAAAAGGATAGGATGGGTGCCAGGATCGCAAGAAACCACCCAAAACGAAATATAAATCATCCTCCTCCTAAGTTTTAAATTGGGTGTTTTTCTTTTTAGCCTTTTTTTAGTTTTCTTTAAAATTCGAAATTTACACATTTTCTTAAAGATCTCGAATACGGTCCATTTTACAGAAATTATGTATGGAACAAGAATTATAGAAAATATAGCAAACAACTTTTATTTGAACAATTATCATAAAAATTTAATTTTTTTACATTTTGTAAAATTTCTCGAATACGGACCATTTTAGGAAAATTTTCTATAGAATAAAAATTATAGAGAATAATACAAGAAGTAACTTTTATTTGAATAATTTTCTTTTCCAAACGTAAATAACGGATAAATGCCATAAAATATAAAAACCCCCTAAAAGAACTCCCCAGATATTCTGACTCTGTCCAAAATCTAATAAGTTCACCTCAGGCTGGAATAAAGCTAAAGTTTAATGTTTTTCTCTTTATCCGTTTTTGAGTTTTCTTCAAAATTCGAGATTTGCACTTTTCCTCAAATATATCGAATACGGTCCATTGTAGAGAAATTATGTATGGAACAAGAATTATAGAGAACTATATCACAAATAGCTTTTATTTAAACATTTCTCATAAAAATTAGATTTTTTTACATTTTGTCAAATTTCTCGAATACGGACCATTTTAGGAAAATTATAGAGAATATTAGAAGTAACTTTTATTTAAAGAATTTTCTTCTCCAAACGTAAATAACATACTTCATAAAATAATAAAAAGACCCCCAGATGTTCTGACTCTGCCCAAAATCTAATCAGTTGTCCGCAGGCCGGAATAAAGCTTAAGTTTAAAATTTGGTATATCCGTTCATGAGTTATCGTGGACAGAGACATCGTCGCGAAAATAGTCAAAACGTAAAAATCCGTCGAAAAGTCGAGGTCGAAAAAATCATGATTTCTATATACTTTCCTTATCCGTATACAAATAGGAAAGTAAAAAAGCTCACATTTATAATGTTGCAGGTAACTTTACACAGGTTCATGAACTGTGATTATCTAATTTTATTTCAGTTAAAATAGGTTCCATAAAGTTGGATCCATATATAGGGTGGCACAAAACTGATCAAAAATATTTTTTGGAAAAATCTTTTATCGAATAACAATTGATCGAAAATAGATTTGACAGAAAAAGTAATTGATCGAAAAACCAAAACATAAATAATATTTTAAAAAATAAAAACCTAACCTGTGCGGCCTAGAGCCATCGCTGGTTGTTTCGCAAAAAAATATAAAAGAAATGAAAAAATAAAAAACTTATTTACCTAACCTGTGCGAGAGCAATCAGTTAAATTTAAATGGCTCCAGGCTGTACAGGTTAGGTAAATTAGTTGAGTTTTGAAAAAAAAAACGTTCATATTAAAGTTGACTAGGTACTCCATTGTCCTAAGACGCTTTTTTCAACCGTAATATTAACAAACATTCCCATATGGATCCAAATATATGGCACACACTGTATAAAAAAAATTGGTAATAGAGGCCATAACACACTAAACAATGCTATTCTGATTCGTGAAAGGCGTTGAAACTACAGTAAATAGACCGTCAGATAGTGACTGATTTAGGTGCCCCATTTTCGCATGCAAGCCTCGAAGAGGGTTGAAAAGTACATCGATTTTGAGTAGAATGAAAGCAAATTTACGAGCGACCCCTGGGGATAACATATGGAAAATTCGATTTTCCTTAACAGAAATAAAAGGTGTTTTTTGGTCATTTTTCCACGCAAGTCATTTTCACTATATGATTAATTAATACAACAAGGCTTCGAAAACTCAAAGGCTTTAATGTTGCAAGTGGCTAAAAGGTTGAAATAAGGGCGTAATCTTGTAAAGAAAAATCGAAATTTTAACCGATTTTTACACACAAGCCAATCGAGAGTATGAAAACATATATCGTAACTAGCCCGAAAAACATATTGGCTTGAGTGGCGTGGTTGGATAAGTCCTTTTTAAGGTTGGAAAATTTAACAGAATTTTTTTTTCGATTTTTCAGTTATTTTCCCATCAACGAAATTTTTTGCTATAAAAACTTATGAATTTAAGAGAACAGAAAAAAATAATGGCTTGAGTGCAGAGCGTGGTCTTCATATTTTCAGAACATAGGAAAGTTGCTGGAAAAATGTATGCAAATTGCCACAATTTTCCCACACAAGCCGTTTGACATATGCTTAGAAAAAGTGATTCTAAGACTATATAACAAAAGGCTTGAGTGTCGGACATGGCCATCATATTATTTATATCTTTATAATTTATTCAACAAAAAGCTGACAAGAAAATCTAGAAATTTCCACCATTTTCTCACGCAAGCCGTTTGTCATATGCTTAGAAAAAGTAATTCTAAACGATATAACAAAAGGCTTGATTATTAGACATGGAGCATATTATTTATCTAAAAAAGAACTGACCAAAAAGTTTACAAATAAATATTTATGCAAAGTTGTTATTATTATTTATTGTTCGGTGATTATTCGTATAGTAAATTTTAATGTGAATTTAGTGTTGAATTAACAATTAATATGTTTATTTTATAGAAAAATTTATATATATATTCATTCGTTCAAAGGGCTATTAAATATAAACTTTAAAATGCCTGTTAAGGGTCGATCTTTTAACCTCTGAGTAAAGTTACATGTAGGTTTACTTGACAGATTAACAAACATTCCTATAGTTTAACTTTCAACTTTACTCAGAAGTGAAAAGACTTGGCCCTATTAATAGATTCGTTACAAAGATATGTTGGTCCATTTTTGAATTTTTATAAAATTAATGTATGTATAAAATAAAACTGCAGCTACTAAACATGAAAAAGTAGATATCCTAGAATTTAATGATGACAATCAAGTATTCTATGGAATAGACACTTCGAAACCATTTTAAATTGAATTTATGTAAGATATTAAAGCAATCAAGAATGTCATGAGATAAATCTTTTAACAGATCAAAATGATTTTCTTGAAGTCGATTAGAAAATGTTGATGTTCCTATGATATTATGTGACATTATTTCAAATTATACAAGTTATTAGATTAAATAATTATTGTGCGTTATTTTTTTGGTTAAAATTGAAGTTACAGGTTGTTAAATAATTGTTAAGTACTATGATATACATTTATTTAGTTAATCAACTGAAATATTTGAATTTTTACAATCATTTAAAAGGGCGTTAAGTTAATAAACATTTAAAAGGTATAAAATTAGTCGTTGAATAGTCCGGCCACTAGACAACTCTTATAATAAAATTAATATAAAATAACTTTGAGAATCGATATTTAGATGATTTAGGGTGATATTTAGGTTTTGCTATTTAGGTTTTAGTTTTATTTTTTTTATATGGCGAATTATAAATGATTCCAAGCATATGCCAAACGGCTTGTGTGAGATGGTGGATATTTATAGATTTTCTTGTCAGCATTTTGTTAAATAAATTTTGTATAAATAATATGAAGACCATGTTCAACACTCAAGCCTTTTTATATATATTCTTAGAATCACTTTTTCTAAGCATATGTCAAACGGCTAGCGTGGGAAAATGGCATTTTCCATACAATTTTCCTGCAACTTTTCGTCCACATCCGATACTCATGCCAATTTTATTATTACGTCTAACACATTAATAACATTCTATGGTTAAAAAGGCTTACATGAAAAAATAACTCAAAAATCAAAAAAAAATTGCGGTAATTTTTCCGACTCCAAAATGCACTTATCCATTCGCGCCATTCAAGCCAATATGTTTTTCGGGCTAGTGACGATGTATGTATTCATACTTTCGACGGGCTTGTGCGGAAAAATCAGTTAAAACATCGATTTTTCTTTACAAGATTACGCCCTTACTTCAACCCTTTAGCCACTTGCAACATTAAAGCCTTTGGTTTTCCGAAGCCTAGTTCTAATAATTAATCATATAGAGAAAAAGCTTGCGTGGAAAAATGACCAAAAAACACCTATTATTTCTGTTAAGGAAAATCGAATTTTCCATATGTTATCCCAAGGGGCCGCTCATAAATTTGCTTTCATTCTACTCAAAATCGATGTACTTTTCAACCCTCTTCGAGGCTTGCATGCGAAAATGGGGCACCTAAATCAGTCACTATCTGACGGTCTAAAAGTAACACTGCTGTACAGTACTTATAAATTTAATACTATAATGGGATGTCGTATGTTATTGACCCTTGTGAATTATGTAATTTCTGTAATCTGTATGAAAATTAGTCATTGCTTGTATTATTTTGTTGCAAGTGCAATATGGAGATATTTATTGTTGTAAATAAAAAATTATAACTCTCAAATAAAGTGTCACACACCCTACAATACGTAATAGTTTTTTATCAAGCTAGACGGCGCTAAAATCACAGGAAACGCAATAAATTGTCTTATTGCCGAATTCTCTACTAAATTACCTTTTTAATAATGTCATTCACGACATTTTTCCCATTTAAATTGTAGAAGTTTTTCACTATACTGCTCGAGGGTTGCAAGGTTCAAGTGGCGATGCTGCAATAAGAAAAAAAGTGGCCGCCTCCAAACTAAAATTGATCTGTCAGAGTGTTTTTTAACATCCACGGTATTAATTCCCAAAACCACCTTGTCAAGTTTTCGTTGGGCCACCTTGTATTTCTTAATTTATGTTCGTTTATTATAATTTTCTACGGAAAACCCTTGTTTTTAGAAAGCAATAAAAATGATTATTTCATTAGCACCTTCGGCTTCGTCAACTTAGGCCATTATATTATTATTATATTGTTCAAAATAAAGGTACTAAAATTCATATTTTAGACTATGCAGAACTTTTTATGAATAACTTTTTTTTACAAAAATTATAAGGTTTGCCATATGTTGCCTTCTTAAATAGGTACACTATACATATATAAGTTTAAAGTATGGTAAAAACTAAAAAATCCAACAGCACAAATCAAATGAATTAGGAAAAATGTAGTGTTGTATGCATTATGGTGAAAATGAAAGAATTCATTATTTCGTAACTCTAAAGCAGCCTAAAGGCCAGAGTTTCGGGCACAGCCCTCTTGACTCTTGTTTAGTAATTTTCTTTAAATATTTAAATCGAAATTTACGTGACGGTTTATAATATTAAAGCGGCAGTTTAAAACGGACCGATCAGATCTCGTTTTGTAAAATATCTATGTTGAAGTCAACAAAAAAGTACTACTTTATTTCTACTATATGAAGATATTTCTTCTTTAAGATTTATTTTTTCTGTATAAGAAACTGAAAATTATCTGTATTATAGATAACTCCCAGATAAATATTATTAGAGTTGAGTAAAAATGCTTAATCTCGTTAAACAAAACAAAATAAATAATATAATGGAAAATATCTACAAAAACGTAAAATAATTTATTTTTTTATAATAAACAATTTATTATAATAATGTCATTTAAATTAATTGAACATCTTCAACATTTCCACCAACTTCGATTTTATATTATGTTCACAATTCTTTTCTTTTCTCCTAAAAATAAAACAATTTTAATATTTACAATATAATTTATTTAAATACCTTTTGATATTTACATACATAAATCATAAAACGATTAAAATCGATGATAACTTCAAAATATATGAAATAATATGAATCTAACAACAAACGCAAATTATTCTAAAAGTCAATAATTTAGTTCTTAAATGCAGTTGAAACTGAGAAAAATGTACAAATACTTTGGTCTACTTTTAAATTAAAATCAATGGATAAATAAAAACTTTTTAAAATTTTCTATTCTTAGTGTGAGAACACAAAGACAAAGTTTTACTTCTGACAAAAAGAATAAATAGTACGCCTATATAATATAATATAAAAACAACAAAATAATAACAGTTTTGGGCTGGACACCTAGTTTGGCTTCGTGTTCTGGTGATTTAACAACATTTAATGTTGGTCAACCTGATCATTGGCAGCTTTATGAGTTTTAATCTTTTATGGAGTGAACATTTCTCTCAATATTTAATTTACATGATCATTGACACCGGATCCTCCAGGTACTGCTTGAAAGCTTGTAGCCACCTTGCACCCACAGCTCCATCAACAACTCGATGATCACAACTCAAGGTCACTTGCAGGAATTGGGCAGATTTAAAACTGAAAATGAAAATTTTAGTTTTAAATAAATACAAATACAATAATTATTACTAAATCAAATATACTGGACTCGCAATAAGTAATTATACACTCAGCGGTTGAGTGCAAACTGAGCGCGTCCCCGGGTGGTGGCGGCTAGGAGAACGGCCAGGATTTTCCTGGTTAGTGGTAGACACAAGTAGAGTGAGAGCCTAAAAACGTTCAAATTATTTTGCAAAGGCTACCGCCGCAAACCAACCTCCCAATCTAAGGTGTAAGATAATGTGCAGGGGCAGATGCGGCAGCCAACACTCCTCTTGAGGGTACCTGGCGACACCCTCTTGTATCTTGCCTTGCCGGTGCATGCGGGACTACGTCAGTCGACCTTTCTTTCCCTAGCTACTCGTGGGAACCTTATGGGTCCAAACCCACGCAAATCCAAGGAGGCTGGATGTCAACGTTCACCTCCAGCAAAGAAAGTTGAACTTCAAGTTTCACCTCCAGCAAAGGAGGCTGGACGTCAACGTTCACCGCCAATAAAAGAGACTGGACGTTAACGTTTCACCTCCAATAAAAAAGACTGGACGTCAACGTTCACCTCCAGCAAAGGAGACTGGGCAGCGATATCCACCTCCAAAATTCGAGGATGGGCATCGCAGTTCAACTTAAACTGACAGGCAAGAGGATCTCTGGTTCCGAAGCAAAGAGGAGGAAGGCTAAACTGCAGATAGGCAGAGTTTTGACAACTGTAGGATATGTCCTCACTCCAAACCCAACGTAAGCAGCCCAATAGAGTCTTTGGGTAGCTACGCTAGTTCTGCCTCCACAAGAGGTCAGAAACACAACGCAACCAAGGACAAGAAAAGGTCTCGATTGGTTACATTACAACTGAGGAACCAGACTAAACCATCCCCTCCCACTTTCGGAGGAAAGGATGGTCAAACGCTAACCTCAAACGCTTCTCAAATTTCAATGGGGGATCGGGAAGCAATTAAAGAGGTCAAAAATTATTCAATGTAACAAAAGCAACATTATGCCGCTGCTTTGATGAGCTGAAAGATACAATAGCCTCATCCAGAAACCACTGGATAATAAAAACCAAAATTGTAGGTCTAAAAAATCTAAATGATTACATTTTTAGCTTTCCCAGCAACCAACAACCTAGGAAAGCCATTTACTTTCCTAAGAAATACACTCACCGGTACGAAAAACGGAGCAGTTGAATTTTTTTAAACAAACTTAAAATTTTAATGCTTTGTGATGTTTTATTATTATAATATCTTAAACATAAACAAAACAACATGTTTTAAGTATTTTCTAACAACAATTGAACCTTTATTTGAAGAAAAAAAGGGTTTTGTAACAATTTAAAAAACGAAGACGAAAAAGCACAAATTGGTGTTGTTCCTAAATGACCTTAAATTAATCAAAACTGAAACGACTTGCTAGCAAAAACTGGGGAGCCGCATTTTTAATAACGTGTGTTGCCCCCACGTGCTCGAATAATAGCCTGCATCCTCCTTGGAATGCCTAAAATTAAGTGGCGAATGTCCTCTTGAGGAATATGTTCCCATTCCTCTAAAAGAGCTTGTTGCAACCGATTTAAAGTTAAAGGAGCAGGAACACGACTTCGCATCCTTCGCCCAAGCATGTCCCAAACATGTTCAATTGGGTTTGCATCCGGGCTTAACGCTGGCCACTCCATAACAGGAATGTTTACATCGTTTAAGTACTGTTGAGTGATTCTCGCGATGTGAGGTCTGGCATTATCATGCATTAGAAGAAAGTCATTTCCGATAAAGTCAACATAAGGGACAACAAAATCTTGGTGATTTTCATCAATGTACCTGGCAGCAGTTAAGGAGCCTCTCGGAAGGATGTACAATTCTGTGTGTGCCTCCATAGAAATTCCGGCCCACACCAACTGAGCCTCCTTGGTAGCCTACCCTAGGACTGAAGGTACATTCTGCGAAACGCTCTTGTGGTCTTCGCCATACTCTCTCACGATCATCTGGAGACCGCAGGCTAAATCTGGACTCATCCGTAAACAAAACGCGCCCCCATTCATTTTCACCCCAGTGCTCATGATTTTTGGCAAACTGAAATCGCGCAATACGATGACGCCTAAGAACCTCTGTGCCTGTTGCAGGTCTACGACTGGTAGATTGGCTTCTCCGAGTCTTCGTCTAACTCTCCGTTCACTTATGTTGGTTTGCCGGACGTGATGAAGTCGATTTTTGATTTCAACAGCCGTAGCATGACGATTTCGCAGACTTTGTAAGATGATAAAGCGATCATCATGAGCGCTAGTTCTTCGTTGGGGACCAGTTCCAAGTCGTCTGGTGTAAGCTCCAGTTTCCAAAAAACGTGTAAAAATATGGTGCACAGTGCTATTGGATATGTGATACTGTTGGGCAACACATCGCTCACTTCTTCCGTCTTAAAGCAACGCAACAATAGCAGCCGCTATTTCGGGATTAACAGCCATAATTTTGTAGGTGAAAAAAACGCAGCACAACTTTAAAACGTGTTTCGATCTGTCAAATTTCTCAAAACAATGAAAACAACAGCATTGTTGGTCATGGTTTCATAGCCAACTATGCACTTTGAAGTGCAAGTTCAATTTTTGATTTTTATTCAAAAACGCTTTTTTTCTTCAAATAAAGGTTCAATTGTTGTTAGAAAATGCTTAAAAAACGTTGTTTTGTTTATGTTTAAGATATTATAATAATAAAACATCACAAAGCATTAAAATTTTAAGTTTGTTTAAAAAAATTCAACTGCTCCGTTTTTCGTGCCGGTGAGTGTATAAAGCTCACTCAATGGATTATGCCATCAAAAGGGAAAAGAAAACGTTGATACTGGCATTTGCATACCTCCCCTCCGACGCAACCATGCCCCACCCAGCAGAGTTGGAAGATCTGATTGAATACTGCATGAACCAGAAGTTTGAGCTGATAATAGGTTGCGACTCAAATGCTCATCACTTCAGTTGGGGCAGTAAGGATAATAACACTAAAAGCAAGTTACTTTATAATTATATAATTACCAAAAATCTTTGTATTATACTACACCAATATTTTTAAACTCTCGCAGTCAAACACTAATAGATATCACTTTATCCACAACTGATATCTATAAATCAATTCTAAACTGGCAAGTGTCTGATGACATTTCGATATCAGACCACCGCTGGTTAACATTCAAAATAAACTTGATGTTGCCGACCTCCACGTTATCTCGAAACCCTAGGAAGACAGGCAGGGCAAACTATACTCACCTTCTTCAAGAGACTTTGAGAGAGGTGGAGGCCGAAACACCAAACAATAACAATGCTTTGGAAAAGTACTCAACACTATGACTAGACAGAATCTGCGCCTGATCACAGGTATTCTGACTGGACATTGCCAACTACGGAAGTATCTACATATCATGGGGCTGGCAGAATCCGCACTCTGCAGGGGATGAAGACAAGAAGATGAGACCATCGAGCATATCCTCTACGATTGCCCGACGCTCTCATTTATTAGAAGATTTGTGTTCGGTGAGAATTGGCTAACACCGGACGATATAAGAGAAGCACCTCTTGGCGACGTTGTCAACTAGATTAAATCTGTAGACTGGCTCACGAGCTAGGTGCCTGTCTACTTAAGACGATGCACAATAGGCCTATTGAGGCCTAAGTGCCGTGGGTTAACCCACCCTTCACACGTTACAGATACAAAAGTAATAATTATACAGAAAATGTCAATAAAACCTATCCACCCTAAAGGCGTTCATGGCAAAGGCGTTCATGAAAAATACATAAATAAATCTAAAATCATATAAAGGGAAACTACTGAAATCCCTACCAGTGAAACGTTACATGATCTTTCAACATACATTTTTTTTACTACAGCTAATAAAATCACAACATTACATATATTTCTAGATGTGACGCGGTGCCAGCGTTAAGTTTTTTTAAGAAATTTGACACTCAGTGTTGGATTTGTAGTTTACCAAAAGTTGAACCCAACATAAATTATGAATACGTCCCTAAGGCTCGCTTACCAAGTGGAATGTCTCCTTTCGGTGCTAGCTGCAAATATTTTCATATGGATAATGAAATTACAGCAACTTCGTAAAAAACAATTTATTGTGCAATACGTTGCACAAATTTTTAAATTTACATATTTACACGACACTTTATTTACAAACACCTAGAGGATTAACACGGGGTTAGGGTTAACATTACTTTATTTATTGTCATTTTAGTATCTTTTGCTCAGGGAACTTATGTATTTACAACAGAATAACTGCCATGAGTTTTGTGTTGAGACCCGTCTGACTTCTCTCGAAGTCCAAAATGAACTGGTCTTTTTTACCGATCAAAGAAAAGATATGCATGTCTACGTGCCAGAAACTGGTTGACCTTGAGTGGTTTCACAATGATGCAGCTCAGTGAACGCGATTATGGTCACGTATACGTTTGTTTACAGACGTCCATAACAAAACACCTGTGCACCGAGCACAGGACCGTCTCTGAATATATATATTAAAATGTGTTGAAACACTCAGCTTTAAAGTTTTGGCACTGCGCAAGACCGTAACGTTACAATGTACATTTTTTCGCTATATTGGGACGAAAACTTATTAGTTTAGTTTTAATATAAATCCTTACCCTTTGTCTGAAGAGGCATCTTCAATCAACCTGTTGGTAGCGCTTCCAATGGCCAAAATACAGCTCTGAGGCGGGTTAATAACCGCACAAAACTGATCGATTCCCATCATTCCTAAGTTTGATATACTAATCGTACCCCCTTGGAATTCCTGAGGTTGAAGTTTGCCGTCCCTCGCTTTAGCAGCTAGACCTTTCATGGTTTTGCTGATTTCCGCAAGGCCTTTCCTCTCGGCTTCAAATATAATGGGAGTAATCAAACCTTTATCTGTCGAAACTGCAACACTGACATCTACATTCCTGTACTGCCTTATCGAGGTTTCGTTCCATGATGAATTCGCTTCTGGAACCTAACAAATTGTAGGGTTTAGTATAATATTAAAGGCGTCAAATATGTTAACCTAGGAGGTCATATTATGACGGCCCAGCTGATGAATTTAGATACTTAAAAAACAAACATGCAGCGCAGAGATAACAGGAGATGTACCTACAAACATATATCGTGCTGTAATGAATAAGACATATTCTAAGTCCCACAGGAGAGTATAATATCCGCTGTTGTCATGCCTATTTAATTATTCTCGTTTTGTTTACAAAATTATTTACATATCTTAAAAAAAAGCTAAAATAATTGAACCCATTTTATTGCAACTGAACCCAAAAATTTGGAATCGCTAGTTATATTAAATTTAACTAAATTAGATGTAATAATTTTCAATATAAGGCTATAACCGAAGTAGTTGATGCCGATGACAGTAAATAGACATAATTTTCAATACATTTGAAAACCTAGTTAATGTTAAGTTGTATACCAAGTATTTTATACTGGACATGGCTTGACATTTTGTACGTTGTTTATTATGGGCGTACAACGGAATACACATAAATTCATTGATAAAATTGTTTTGTACGGCCACCTAATTCTTCACTTTATCCCTTTCCATACCTCACACCACATGTTTCTTCACTCCTAAACCTGAACCTATTGACTGTGATATCGATGTCGGCGTCAGGAATATTATATTTTCTCAATGAATAGCTATATCTCTTGTTATCTCTGATACAGCGGCAAGTTGATTCAGCACATCTTTTATAAGTTCGCATTACAAAATATACCTAGATAGTGATAGTATTAGGGGTGGGTTATGAGCACGTAAAACGAGGAGCTTGATCGTAAATATTTTAGTTTAGTAGTTATTATGATTACAAAAAGGGAATATAACAGAAACATGTTTAAATACGTTTGGTCGTTCAAAAGCCAGCATGGCCCTCATACTGGGCATCTTCCTGTTCATTGCTCAAGAAATAAATCGTTCAAGGACTATTAAAAGAAAACGAATGCAAAATATATGACATTAGATTGAAGACTAACTCAAAATCACTCAAAATTGATAAACTTTGACTTCCATCAACAGTCCAAAATTGCTGCTGCTGCTGCTACTTACTTTTAAACTAGCTTGTGCCACAGCCTTGATAATAAAATCGTTAACGCTCAGTTTGACTCCTTCCTTTTCTAATTTTTTATTAAACTCCGCCCTAGTAGTCATTAACTTGTTAATGTTTATTTCAACAGACAAATAATAGTGAGGGATAGTTTGTTTGGATTGTAGCAGTCTCTTGGCAATTGTCGTCCTCATACCAGTAAGGGGGATGTCTTGAAAACTTCCGGTGGAAGGTGCAGCTGCAGCTGGAAGTTGACCTTTTTGACCTGCAGCAGGAGAGAGAGCTTGAGCTGTTTCTAGTGATCCTAAGTCAGAGGAAGTTATAGCACCGAATAAACCAGAACCTTTGCCTAAAAAAATATTGAACTTTGACAGCAAAGGGTACTACTTTATTAATTCAATATGATATTAAAAGATATTTAATACAAAATTGTAAATATATAGACAATTTTATCAAGGGCCGATTTCATAATTAATATTAAAAGGTCCATTATCTAATGGAACCAAGTTTTTAAGGACCTAATGGTCCAATTAGTTAATGGACCTTTTAATATTGATTATGAAATTAGCCTTTAATAAAATGTGCATTTTTTTTAAATTTCATAATGTACGTAGAATTCATGTTAGAAAAATCTCAAATATGGAATGTTTTACAGAGTTCAATCTAGAGTCTCTTTTTTGTAACAAATTGTGAGGAATAATTATTAATCTCAACTTTTATGAAATATAGGGTGTTCAAAAGGTTTGGATTAAAATTGTTTTCTTAGCCCTTGATTCTACACTAATGGGTTATCGTAATTTATATAAATAGAGTGTTATAACTAATAATGACTAATGACGATTAATTAACACATAAATATTTTTATATGAATAAAAAGTTCCTAGGTATATTTCATCTTCTGGGGCAGTCAATATATTTATAAAAATATGGGGGATGAATACATAGTTTAAATTTTTTTTAAATAATAGAAACCCCATCTTCCTGTTTCACAGCGTGTAGTTTTGACAGAATAAACATAGGAACTTTTTATTTATATAAAATTCTACTATGGTCGGGAAATTGTCCTTATTAAAATAAATATTTTTAAGTTAAAGTCTTTACCGTAAGGAAAGATATTTATATAATTATGTATTTATTAAATTCACTTTATCACCCTATAGAATAAAAACTGGGACATTTATGCAGGAAAATTATATTTAGCTTTTCTTAATAATTAGTTAAAATCTACAAATCCCTTAGTTTACGGTACTTTATTCTGAAACATCCTATTTATATTAACCAGTAATAAATTGTTAAATTTCTCTAAATGTTAGAACACCGAATTTTTTCTTCAGTTTCGTGGCCTTCGTAAGTTTAAATCCCCCAGTTCCAGCTTTTTTTTACTTCATTTCAATAAACACATTAGACAATTTAAAGACCATATTGAGGGCAAAATCAATCTCTAAAAAATTATTGAACCCGTTTATTAAACCTTATTTATATTTAATTTGACCTTATATTATAATTTATGTAACTTTATTTTATTTTTTACAACCTAACCTAACATTTTAAATTATATAATTCCAGAGATAAGAGATATAAGTTTGGGTCTCGCAAGCTACTTCTAGAAAACAAAAAGCGAAATTATTGAAGTATATTAAGCCAATATTATTTTGAACCTGACCTTGTAACCTGATATTCCTCTGTTCAGCTAACCTCTTTGCCATGGGACTGACGTACACCCTACCTGTAGCAGAAGGTTCAGGTACAGCGGGCACTGTTGCAGGTGCGTGCATTGCAGCCGACGGTGCTGCAGGTGATGGTGCCACAGGCGCAGGTGTTGGGGCTGGCGCAGTAGGTGCAGCAGCTGGTGCTGGTTGTGGAGCACTGCCACCATCATCTTTGAAATCTTTAAAGGCAGCTATATCGGATTCGTTTTCGACAATAATACAGACCAACTTTCCTTAAATAAAAATATACATATATTTTAATAGAACAACAGCTGATTGCATGAACATTCATTAAAATTTATGAGATTGATAAATTTTGACAGATAGATACTTTATTGAAGTAGGATAACCTAATATACAATAATAGGAGAAAATTTCACAAAAAATGGTGTCTGATATAACTTTCTCTGTTTGGATACCAGTGGCGTGCTAATTTACAGATAGAAACTATAATTTGAGTGGTAAATTACGTGGCAGGGGCATTCCTGTAGCAATAAAATGTTTAACTAATACCTGAATATGTTGAAATTTCTCAAACAACAATTTAACAGCTGTTTGTACAAGTTAAATGTAAGAATAGCAAACTTATTTTAGGGGGTGTTTACATTCCTCCAGGTTCTGATGATAACATATATATTGATCATTTGATTACTATTGATTATTTATCTGTAAATTATAAAAATAGTAAACTTTTATTATGTGGTGATTATAATTTGCCTGAGGTATATTGGTATAATGATAATTTGGGATTAAATTTTAAATCAGCATTTCTAATAGTCTAGAAAAATTTCTTGATTAAATTTTTTATAGTTCTTGCAATGTTGCAGTATCTGAAGCCATTAATTTATTAGTAAATAATAGTGCATTTTCTTTACAATTAAAATTGAAAACGAGTAATTATCTCCATTATGATGAATATTTTTGGAAATTTAAAAAAGGTAACTATGCTGGTTTAAATGATTTTCTAGCGAGTGATATTATGTTTAATTCATGTACGATTGACGTGGCTCCAGAAAAATTTTATGATATATTGTATCAAACCTTACACATTTTTATTCCTATAAAAAAATATCCCAATTGGTTTTCTGGTGAACTCATAAACCAAAATAAACAAAACAAGACATTCACAAACGTTATAAAACATCTGGAAACTTCATTCATTATCATCAAGTATGTAATGAATGCTTCAACAGACTTATATCTAAACTTGAGCATAAGCTCAGATACCAAAATCTTTTGGAAATATTACAATAATGAAATGGGCAACTACCGTTTACCTAATACCATGCATTATTAAGAAAAGCAGGCAAATTGAAACAATCATATTGTTAATTTTTCTTCATTTTTCTCAACTGTCTATTGTCATGAACACCCTAACCAAATTCCGGTTTATTCATTCAAAAATAATTATGTTGATGTTACTAATTACCATAAGATTTTCATAAGATTCCTGATGGAATTCCTCTGTTCCTTCTAAAAAAATGTACTTTCACACTAGCAATACCTTTACACTATTTATTCAACTTATCACTATCTTCGGGAGTATTCCCTGTGTTCTGTTTTACAAGAGTGACAGCAAAGATCTATTTGCATTTAGTTGGAAATTCCAGTTTCAAAAAAATTGTCATGGGACACTAAACCTATAGTTAATAGTGAGCAACATGGATTTATGCCCGGTAAATCTACGACTACAAATTTGGTGCTTCATAAAAACTATATAATTGGTGCTTTTGAAGAGCGCTCTCAGGTTGATGCAATATATACAGATTTTACAAAAGCATCTGATCGGGTTTACCATGTGCACTTGCTAGCAAAACTTAACTTCATAGAAATAGTTGGCTCAATGATTTCATGGCTGGACAGTTATCTTAAAGGACGTAAGATATGGGGGTTCCATATCATCTGCGATATTGGTACCATCAGGTGTACCACAAGGGTCACATTTAGGTCCATTATTATTTAATCTATTCATAAACGATGTAGCTGAGGTTATAATTTACTCACAAAAGTCTATTTTTGCATTTTAAATTCTATATAGCTATTAAAACAATCGAGGATACCAGACTGTTCCAATTTGATATAGATAACCTTGTTAGATGGTGTAAAATAAATCTAGTAAAACTAAACCCGAGAAAATGTCATCAAATCACTTTCCATAGAAACAAAACAATCCTGTTCAGTTCAATTACACATTAGACAATCATCCACTTCATAAAATTGATACTATTACTTCCAAGGCATTGAAAATGTTGGGATTTGTCATGAGATCATCCAAACATTTTTCAACCGATTTGATAAAATTATTATATTGTTCATTGGTGAGATCTAACGTTGAATATAATTGCACCTTATGGAATCCCTATCGCCAACGGGACGTAGATTTAACTGAAAGCGTTCAACTTAAATTTTTAAAATTTGCTGCATATAAATGTGGGTATTTCTAGTGGAAATAGGTAATTACAACAATATTTTACTAAAGCTTGACTTGAATTATCTTGAGTATAGTAGAACAAAATAAGCACTATGCTTTCTTCATGAGTTACTAAATGCTTCAATTTGTTGTCCAGATTTATTGAGGCTGGTGAATTTCAACATACACAGAAGAACATGCATATCTGAATTATTTAGCATTCCATCCCATACTACAGAATATGCTCAGAATGAAACTATTTCTAAAATACTTAGGATTGCTAATAATCACAATGATAACTTACAAATATTCAACTCATATTTACCCTCTTTTAAGCGCCATATTGGAAACATACATTTTTAACTATTTTTTTCTCTTTCAACCTTTATATTCTTTTATTGTTTTTTTTACTATTATTATATATTTAATGTTCATAATGTCTGTTTGATATTAATATTTTTCTCTTTTTCTCATACATATTGTATTTTTTTTTTTTTTTTGATAAAATGGTATATCAGTAAATAAATAAATAAATAAATAAATAAAATAAATAAATAAATAAATAAATAAATAAATAAATAAATAAATAAATAAATAAATAAATAAATAAATAAATAAATAAATAAATAAATAAATAAATAAATAAATAAATAAATAAATAAATAAATAAATAAATAAATAAATAAATAAATAAATAAATAAATAAATAAATAAATAAATAAATAAATAAATAAATAAATAAATAAATAAATAAATAAATAAATAAATAAATAAATAAATAAATAAATAAATAAATAAATAAATAAATAAATAAATAAATAAGGGAACGTAATTTCACAAACTTTTCTCCTATGAATAGCCTTTGTAGTTTTTGTATTGAATAAAAATAGTCTATCAAAACTTTAAATTGAAATATTTCAAAATGTAACCTATTTAACTTTTTTATTACGGATGTACTCAAAAAAGTATGCCCCTTTATAATCTTTCATAATATATGCAAGATGTCATTAATTTTTTTTACGTAAGGATAGCTTACGGGGAGAGGTAGTGGGATAAAAAGTATGAGGAATTACGTCCACCTATGCACTGATCATTCCGCAAAAATTCAAGATCCCAAAAATTTTACCAGAAACAAAGCCATCTGAAGTTTTTGCACCCGGTATACCTAGTCTTTGTAAGTTTGATCAGAAGTCGCCACTGTATAAAAAACAAATATTAATATGCTGAAAAATTATTTTTTTTTCAATGTCTTCAGCAAAATATTTTCGAAAAAAAAAAAAAAATGAAGAATTGAGAAATAAAATCACAATCGTAATAATATTAATATACCGGGTGTTCAAATTAAAGTGTTACAGCTAAATACCGCTTTTTATAAAAAAAAAAAACGTTTCAGACGAAAGTTTTATAATTTTGTGGGGAAATTTTTTTGGCTAAACTCGTTTTTTATAGCTAACCATAATATGGCCAACTTTTTTTTTCGCCCAGAAAAATTTTCAAGTAGATGGTACTCAAAAATTAAAGTCCAATAAAAAAAATATTTCCATCAAAAGTTTCTTATTTTTTTTATTTACTTAAGGAATATGTAAAAAAGATGGGATTCCCGTTTAAAAAAACAAAGTCCACCTCGATATGGCCATATTATGGTCAGCTATAAAAAAATGAATTTAGTCAAAATGTTTTCCCCAAAATCTATAAAACTTTTGTCTGAAACTTTTTTTTCTAAAATGCATATTTTCGGCGGTATTTAACTGTAACACTTTAATTTGAACACCCGGTATATTATTTGTTTACAATAACCATATCAATTAGTGTTTATTAAAATTCAACAATTTTTGTATGTAATTTTAGTTGAAAGAAAAAAGGAGGTCTCAATTATATAAGTATTACTGTCATTTTTAAGTGATCAGGCAATTAAATGATAAGAACTTAAATGATAAAAATAAATTTCAACCTTAAACAAACTGATGAATCAAAATTGTTCACACATATTATCTGAATAAAATGTATCTCACTTATCTTAGACATTAAATTAGATGATTTTTGTAAGCAGTGGTAAATTAACTACCTAATACAAATGACCTGGTCAATTTTAATACTAATTATTACCATAAATGCCTACTTTATTTTAGCTATAAACCACTAAAATACATTACAAATTTATTTTGAATTAAAATTAAATAAATATAAAGAATGATTGCAGAAGGTCAAGCAGCCATTCCAGATTAAAAATGGTCAGGAACAAAAACAAATGAGATATTGTTAACATGTTTGTAGATTACTTCTCTTCAATTGCCAGTAATGTAATTAAAAATCATTTTCACAACACTATTTTTAATAATTATAATTACACTGCTATGTTTGTTCTAAACACATTTCAGTTTATAGAAGTGACTTCTGAACAAGCAGTACAAACAATTGCATCTCTAAAGAATAGAGATTTCCACAAAAATGCCCATTCACTGCAAATGCATTAGCTTATGTAACCAATACTTCCTTGTTACACAGAATTTTCTCAAATGCTCTTAAAATTGGGCTTGTAACACCTACTTTTAAAAGTGTCAGCTGTCACCGAATAACTACAGACCTATTACAATCTCCACTATAATATGTAAAGTATTTGAGAAATGTGTCTCGACTGTTTTCTTCTCAAAAACAAATTTAATATCCTAAGTATAATTAGATCATGTAATAAGTAGGTATATATCTGGGTATATACATTTAAATGTAATTTTAAATTGTGTTTTGTCCACTACATGTATTTTGACATCCTACATCAATGTAAAGTGATCAGAACTCGGATCAGAAATAACTAATAAATATGTATTATTATTATTATTATTATTAAAGATGTTATTGAAGTGATCCATATCATTCCATGTTTTATTATTTGAAAGATTTCTACAGAAATCTTATCTTGACTCTACAGGAATAATATCTTTGAATTGAACTATAATAATGTAAAATTAAAATTTTGGACATACCAATTGGAACATCTTTAGTCCCGGCTGGAATGAGAATTTTTGCAAGATATCCTTCTTCTGGAGTTTCAAAACCCATAGTGGCTTTATCTGTTTCAATTTCAGCTAATAGGTCACCCTCATTCAATTTATCACCTTCTTTTTTGTCCCAACTAACTATAGTTCCAAGTTCCATAGTAGGTGATAAAGCTGGAAGGGTGACTCTTGTATGACTGGGAAGATTACTGGCATAATATCTAACAAAATTTTGTTCTGAAGTAATTAAGTTCTGTAATATTTTGGAATGTTGCGGTCCAAATAGAGATCTAAAAAGTAAAATATGTAGAGTTAATTTAAATATGAACACTAAAAAGTTTGGTTAGGTTGGGACAGCTTTCAACCTTAAGAACAGTTATGTAACTGGATTAAAACAAAATTATTACGTATATTAGAGAAAAACTATTTTAACTAAATACCTGTGATAATGTCTTCGTTTTCCACATTCGATTGAAACATTTCTAAAAGATTTTGATCTAAGAGATTTTCTTAAAATTTCTCTGGCAACGTCACTTCGTAAAATTACTGTTCGAAACATGTTTTACTTTTTGTTGACTTATATTAATTAATTATTTTAAGAAGGCCTTTTGAACAGAATAGGAACTTTTAACTTTGAGGGCCACTCACCGATCGACAGCCTTCTCTAGGTCATTTAAAAGACGGTCTCACGACGGTTTTTCACGAATTAAAAAAGTGACAGGAGTGTGACGTTTGAAATCACACGTGTTGGTAGCTTATGACGTCTCTTGAGGTATTTTCAAAGTGTACTGGTTTATTACGGTATAAACATTGAATTGAGAACTTCCTAATCGCATCATTTCGTAATTGATTTCCATTCATGTATTTAAATTGTTGAAAACGAGGTTAAAAATAAAATTAATGTCTCTCCTTGAACATTATTTATACATTATTTTTAAAGTTTGGAAAAATGAATAGTTCTAGATCTTGAGTTCCATCGGTTCGTTGTTCAATCCAAAGCAACCACAACAAACAAATATTTAAAACTGACAGTTAGCAATGTTGCCAGTACTTGTTTTTTTTTTCAAATGTTAGGGGAATGCTAGTTTTTTATATATTCAAATTATTCTAAATTATGGAAGAAAAATAAATATTCTAAATGACATTCGTGGTTGATATTTAACTAATTTTAGACTAATGTGATCTTTTCACATTTTTCAAATTCTTGGTTCTACAAAAATATAAAAAGTATAGAAATACATAATTCGATAGTTTTATTTGAAATTTGGCAACATCATTGTCATTGTGAATTACTGAATTGTGATCAATGTGGGGGGTATTCCGTTCCCACGTGTGTGGTCTGAATAATTTTTTGTTATTATTTATTGTTTATTTTATTTGAACGTCTCATTCAACTTTCGCGTTATTTTGTTGAATGAAAATGTTTTTGTTTAGTGTTTTTTAGCTTTTAATCATTTTAAATGTATTTGGTTTTATTTAAAATCCAGTATTATTTTAAATTGTAAAAATGAATTTTTTTATAATATTGACAACTTATTTAGTGTTTGGAGCAGCTGAAAATTATGATTCTTTTAAAACAGAAACTTCTTTACGCAATTCCACTTATACAAAATACAAAGAGCAGAAAAAGTTCAAAGAGAATACAAGGTATAAATTATATGATGGAAACCTTCAATATTGTCAAAAATCTGCAAAATGCCAAACTTTAAATTATTCTATTTGCATGGGAGCCAAATTACCATATCATGGTACCACATTGGACCTGATTGACTTAAATAGTCAAGAAAAAGTACAAGAAAAACTTCAAGTTTATAGATATTTACGATATGTGCCTAAATGCTGGGCTGTTATCCAGCCTTTTTTATGTGCCTTGTATATGCCTAAATGTGAAGATGATAAAGTAGATTTACCTTCTTATGAAATGTGTAAAATCACCCTTGAACCATGCAAAATATTCTACAACAGTTCTGTTCTCCCTGAATTTTTAAACTGTGATGATGAAAATTTGTTTCCTTTTAATAAATGTAAGAATGATATACATGAGGTTAAATTTAATACCACAGGATTTTGTATGGACCCATTGGTAAAAACTGATAAACAAGAATGGTGGTACCCAGACATTGAAAATTGTGGTTTGAAATGTAAAGATTCTCTCCATACAGAAAATGAACACTATCAAATTCATAAGCTGATTTTTTATTGTACATTGCTGTGCATTTTTTGCAACATCTTTACCATTACTACTTTTGTAATCGACTGGAAAACTGCAAATAAGTACCCAGCATTGGCTATTTTCTATGTAAATGTATGTTTTTGTATCTCGTATGGAGGTTGGCTGGTTCAATTTTTAGGGAGCGAAACTAGAGAAGATATCGTTTGCAAAAAAGAAGGAACTTTAAGAAAATCTGAACCAAGTGCTACTGAAAATTTATCATGTGTGATTGTTTTCGTTATGGTTTATTACTTTATGGTTGCAGGTTTAGTTTGGTTTGTGATATTTAGTTATTCATGGCATATGAACTCATTACAAGCTCTAGGTAAAGAACTACTGACATATTAGGTGTAAATGTACACGTTTAATCATTGCATGAACATAATAATGACCATTAAAATGTAGAAATCATTTTAACAATAAAAGTGAACTCCGTTCATGTAAATTCTTTTTTATAAAAATATATAACTAGCTGTTGTCTCCTTTCTGATTACAAAATTTAATATTATTTTTAATGATTGGGCAAGTGTTATGTCCCTCTTTTGTATCTAAAAACCATTTATAATTAGATAATCATTTACCAGTTATACTTCCTACCATCCACAGAAAAACAAATTAATTCCGATCTGAATGTATTGCCAAATTTGTGATATTGATCATTTTTGTAGTAGAGACTAACATTTTTTATGTTCCTAATTATTAACCTTAAACTTTTATTTTCAATACTAATAATTTTGTTAACTACTAACAGTTTTCAGGTAGACCTACTAATAAGAAATATTTCTTTGCATGGATACTTAATACTAGAAGAAAAAATGCTAATCTAGTTGAAAATTGGTATTTTATATAATATACACTTTATTCTTTTTCAAATACCCATAATTCTCCTTTTAGGTAAATTACAGGACAGAGTTGATCGGAAGCGAGCATATTTTCATTTGGTTGCATGGAGTTTTCCTCTAATGTTAACAATTACCACAATGGCAATTGGAGAAATTGATGGAGATTATGTCACAGGGATTTGTTTTGTGGGTTTTATCAATAAAGCAGCTAGAGCAGGTTTGCTTTTAACACCACTAGCGGCTACGATGGTTGTTTCTGGTTATATTATTGTCAAAGGTAATAGTTTTGTATTTTAAACATTTATCTTAGGTTTGTGTTAGTTTCAAAATAATAAAAACTGAAATTGGTTAAAATATGTTGAAATTTTCTGTAAAAGTAATCTGGGGACAATTTAAAAATGTTCAGGGGAAAAATATTAATTTATATTATAGAAAATTATTCAGAATAAAAATAAACTTAAGTACAAAATCTCTAAATAAAAAAAAATGTAACTTAATTACTACGAGAGAAAATGAATTAATTACCTATGCTGGAAACAACACAAATTTGGACTTTTATCTCAGAAATTAAGGGGGTATAGGCCATATATGGGATCGTTTTGATGTCTGCAGCATGTAACCTACCACTACTATTAAATTATGTGCATTTTCTCATAAAACACAATGTATACCGTTCTTGATTTAATTTTCCATCTCCTACATTACATTCCACATTACTTTCTTTCTTCATATTTAATTATTTTTCTTTAGTATTAATTAGAACTGTTTCAGCTATCTCTGTTATTATTTTAATATTTAAATCTAGTTCATGATATTAAAACAAGTATAATATTTTGTAAAGCACTAAACAGGACTGGCATCGCAAAACAAGCATTAAGTTGCTTAGGCTGGTGTCCGCCCTTGTTTGGTGTTAAACTAATACAATTGTTAATATTTTATTTGAATACCTATATCAATATCAATAAAATTTATTATTATTATTATACTAAAATAGAAAAAGGATAAATTGGAAGAACAAACCCAATTACAGTAGAAGAACCCACTGTAAATTTTGGCCGTGCCCTGAAGGCATTTAAAAACATTGTACTTTACTAAACGGCACCTATGCCAATCACTATCCTGAGAAAAGTGGTTAAAACAGTGGCAGTTCCAGTGCCATAATTAGCGAGAAATATCCCGATTTGATAAAGATAAGAATTATGCCCTTTGATTAATAGGAACTCACAAGAATACCTGTGCTACCTCTTTTCGTGCGCCAAATGACAACCTTTTTTTGCAGCTTAAATTCTCGACAAACTTCCTTCATGTGATTAGTTAAAACAATATGTGATCGAAAGGGTATAATGTCCATTCGCAAATATCCACATATCTTAACTAATAATAATAGCAGATGAAATAGATTTAGTAACGGGAATAGCAAAGGCATCAAACATATGAGTAATCATAATAATAAATTTGGTAAAAGGAAAATAAAAGAAAAACTATAATGTGAGTAGTTCAACATGATCCAGTTATTAAAATAATATATTTGAAGAAGATAGAGGACAGAGTTAGAAATTATAACATCTTCCAGGCCAGAGCACATCAAGAACCTTGAGAGGTCACTCAAAGAAATTGTATAAAGAAAAGTGTAATAAACTGCAAAGAAAAAATTTAATTACAAACAGAACTGTATATCTGTGGAATGGTCTCTTGGAACATACAGTCTCATCCCAGAACATAAACCAGTTCAAGGCGAGGATGGATAAAGAACTCGAAGAAGGAAGAAATAATTTTATTCATTACAGTTTATAGTATGTTAACTGTCATGTAGTAATTTAGAATAATTTTTGTCACTAACTAAAAGAGCAACTTCATCGAATATGTCGCTTGCCTGTTCTTAATAATAATAATAATGTGAAATAACCTGAACTAATAATTCAGAAACTGAAGAGGAATGAACCAAGATAGAGGGGGACTCAGTAGCCAAGAAATAATCCTAGGAACATTTTTTTGACATAGAAGGAGCTTTTGATAATACCTCCTTTAAATCAATGGTAGCTGCTGCTCGCAAAAATGGAATAGAAGGCACCATATGTTGGTGGATAGAAGACATGTTACGCGGACGGCAAGTACAGGCACAAATGTTCAGTGAAACCATGCAGGTGAATATCCACTGGGGATGCCCACAGGGTGGAGTCCTTTCTCCCCTACTGTGGAACCTAGTGGCAGATGAACTGCTGAAAACACTGAACAATCAAGGGCTGTACGCCCAGGGATATGCCGATGACATATCCAATGGAAACACCTTCGAACTCATGCAAAGAGCTCTTAGGCTGACATAAATGTGGTGCGTTAGGGAAAACCTCTTGGTAAACCCTGACAACTCATCACATTTACTCGGAAAATAAAGTTGGAGGTCTTAGAAACTACGACTCTGTTTGGAGGAAGGCTAAACAAAACGAACCAAGTAAAATATCTGGGTTTAATCCTAGATAGCAAACTTACTTGGAACCAACACTTACAAAAAGTGACCAACAAATGTAAAATGTTTCTCATTGTAGGGAGACGGGCATTTGGAAAAACATGGGGGTTAAAACCAAAAATGATCCACTGGCTATATGTGGCAATAACAAGACCCATGATAACTTATGGAGCGGTTGTTTGGTTTTGGTGGCCAAAAGTAAATCAGAAAACAGCCCTCAATACTTTCTCAGGAGTTCAGAGGCTGGCATGCCTTTGTATTACAGGAGTACTGATAAGTACACCAACAGCCTCTATGGAAATCGATTCTAAACCTCCCACTCGTTGACCTAGTCATAAAGGGGGAGGCCAGAATGAGTGCATACAGACTGGAAATCTTCAACAACTGGAACCCTACTGGGACATATAAAACATACCAGAATAACACATGAAGTAAATGATTCTATATTAAACATGGGGGCAGATTATATGACACCCCTCCTAACCTTCAACAGACTCTTCCAGGTCAACTGGAACGAGGTAAATAAGGAGATAGATAAATACTTGCTTAGCGGTCTCGTATGGTATATGGATGGATCTAAAACTAACAAGGGAACAGGCTCTGGCATACATGGAGTTAAACCCAAATGTGACATCATCATCTCACTGGGAAAACATACCACTGTATTTCAGGCTGAAATACATGCAATCGAATTGTGTGTACGAGAGAATTTAAGAAGGAAGTACAAAAAACAAACCATCCTAATTCTCTCAGATAGCCAAGCAGCCTTAAAGGCTCTTGATTCAAACAGAATCAAGTCAAAGCTTGTCTGGAACTGCCTTGGAATACTAAATGATCTGGCGTGGGTACCAGGGCACAAAGGTATCCAAGGCTGATGAACTCGCCAAAGAGGGATCAGATCTACCATTCACAGGACCCGAACCTGTATTTGGGATAAGCAAAACCTCTGCTTGACAGGCAGTGAACAGGTGGATAACCACAAAACACGAAATTCACTGGCAAAAGATAAGAGGGCACAGAATCAATAAGCCCATGCTAAGGGGACCAAACACGCATGGCTACTGAGGCACTACAACTCGCAAGGCCTCTGATATCCACCATTGTGGGATTACTAATGGGGTACTGTTTGCTGAAACACCTTCATGTGATGGGATTACACAATGACCCCACTACGTGTAGACTCTGCATGGAAGAGGAAGAAACCTCATACCATGTGATCTTCGAATGCGAAGCTCTTACTAGGCGACGTTTCCTCCTTTTTGGTCTAGAGCCGGAAAGAACGCCCCAGGAATTTGTTAAAACTAATCAAAGAGACAGGACTATTCCAAAGATAGTACCTGAATACGGGGAAAGCAGAGGAATACAATGGACCCAAGAGGCCACAGGCCAAACCTAACCCTACCTGTTTATAACTGACAAGATAAAAAGAGGAATGAGCTAGAATAGTAGGCTCGCCACTTACTACCAAAGAAGATAATAAAAAAGTAAAAAAAAGAAAAGGTAGACCAAAGAAGACGTGGATACATAGAATTTGAGAAAAAAGTGTCCATAGGGGAATAATATATAAGAGATCTAAAGGAAATGAAAACTAAACCTGCATCCGACACTCTTAAGGATATAAGGATTAGAAAATGAAAAGTACACAATTACTTCTAATAATATGATCTTTTTCTTATTTTTATTTTCAATATTTTAATAATGATGGTGGGTGAGGTTTTCCGGGTTTTCCTCACCTGTAAGTCAAATGGCACCATCAATCATCTTTAAGTCGCCCCGGAGCGCCACGGCAAATAATAATAATAGTCGTCCCTTCCCCTACACAAGTCGTTCAGTCGACTTCAGGGGTTGAAATTCACTCGTAAGGGGGTGAATTAGGGAGAGTATTATTATTATTATTATTATTACTTAAAATATTTGAAAAATTTATAGTATGTTATTTCTTTTGAAATACCTAAAATTAACTTTTTTGTCTGTGACGTAACTATTGTAAAAATATTTTAGTTGTTTTGCAAATAATAATTTAATATTTTTCAATTTTAGGACTCGTTCTTCTCGTTAAAGTTAAAATAGACAGCAGAGAAATAATATCAGAACATTCTAGTAGGAAAATCAGGTCGAATATCGTCAGGATGGGAGTTTTTACAATATTTATGATAGTATTCTGTATAATCACTTTTGTATATCATCACTACATTTTTGAAAACTCGCAACATTGGGATATGAGTTTGCAGAATTATATTTTGTAAGTATCTAACTCAAAAGTCATAGCTAATTAACAAAATTTCTTTAGCAATACATGAGGAATCTGGTTGGATCAGTGTCGCAGCGAGGACCCAGACACGAACCCAGATGATTTTGAAATTTAAAAAGTTAAATTAGATGTGTCATTACTAATTGGAAATATTTCAAGTTTTAACCCAAATCACATAAATAAAATGTGTCTCCTGTCTGAGTTACAGGAAGTTTCATTTAAAAATTATTTGTGCGCAGTAGTTTAAAACTATTTGACGTATTATTGTCATATTTGGCTCGAACTGTATACACCCTACTAAATTATGTTCCTAGCTACTACCAGAGGCGTACGACAGGGTCAAGTGGCTGGTTTATCCTTCCCAAATTCTACGCCACTAGCGTAATTGCAATTTTATCACATTTTTTCTATTCTCCAAAACTTTCTATGTAAATATCTTACTCTTTCTTTATAGCGATAAAGTAATTATTTTTCGAGATACTTTAAGTTAAACAAGCTGCACAATTATTTTAATTTTAATGTGTATTAATTATGTCGGTGTTTTGAGTCATTGGATTACATTTATTACGCAAATGAAACTTTAATCTGTGTTAACAAAAAAAAAACAATGTTATTTATCGAAATTTCTTAAACCAATAGATGCAATGAACAATTAAAAACAATTTTTTTAGAAAGTTATTCAAACAAAAATTACTTGTGATGTCATTTTCTATCATTTTTGCTCTATACATGATTTCCCTAAAATGGACCGTAATGAAACAATTGGAAAAATGAGATTTTTAATTTTTTTCAGTATTTTATAAACATTTACAGGGGTACAAAATAACCGACAAAGGCCTGTAATAATTAGAAAGGAAAGTCATGTGTTGGACACATCAAATTTATATATTTTATTATCAAAAACCACACAAACATTGGTTATCTTATAGTTAATACACCAAAAATTATTCATTTAATAGGAATTTTCTTGACCCACAATCACCCTGAAATTAATTTAGCTAGTTCCAAGAATTTTTTACTTATCGGCACTGCTATATTAAATTAAAAAAATGAAGTGTTACATGCATATAACATATGAATAATATAGATAGTAAAATGTGTCAATATTTATATAAGGAAGCCCTATTAAAAAAAAAAGAATAATAAATTGTTTGTTTAGGTGTAAACTCACCAGTCTAAGTTCCGATTCCACTCACTGTAAGCAAACAGCTCGACCTAGTGTTGCAATGTTACAATTGCAGCTGTTAGCTGTATTTGGATCAGGAATTGCTATGGCGTCTTGGGTGTGGTGTGATGCCACCTTACACTCATGGGGAAGGTATATTAGAAGGTAAGTTTTCATGTATTTTTTGTATTTTTTTTTTGTTATATCTTGTTATTATATCGTAATTCTTTTATGATATTGTATATTTCTTAAAAAATATTTAACATCGTTTATTTTTTAGAAAATTTCACTGTGAAATCGACGAGCCGATGAAACTTCAAAAACACAAAATAATAGCCCAAGCGTTCGCAAAACGAAAGAAGTTTAATGCAGGTGGCGAAATATCCATTCTGTGTCAGAATCACACCGATCCCGTTGGGCTTCAATTCGAATTGAACAGCGCTGCTAGCAACGAACTAAGTACGACGTGGGCGGCAAATCTGCCGCGTTTGGTCAATCGCAGAGGAGCAGTACCTAATGAGGTGGCTTACTCAGTGTCCAGCAATAATCATTCATTAGATAGTGAAGTCAGCTTGAATTTCAGGCATGTTAGCATAGAAAGTAGGAGGAATTCCGGCGATAGCCAAGTTTCCGTACAAATTGCTGAATTGAAAGCAACAAGAAAGGTAAGAGCGAATTAGTTCATTTACATTTCATAGCTTAGGTTCTAACATCTCATATCGCAGAAATTAATTAATTTATTTAACTACGGACAAGCCCATTTCAATTACAATTTTAAAAATTAATTAAAATATCAAATATTTTTAGTGCTGTAGCCCAAATGAATACATTATACATGTCATATAGACTAGGAACATTTAAAATAATAAAATAGGTTAGTCGAAGGTTAAAAAAAGAAAATACACAGTAAAACATTAAGATTAAAGCACGGTATTGAGTAATTGAGTTCTGAATGATGAAAAGGGAATATTGAACAGCCTGAGATCATTGTGCAAGTTAGCTAATTCTTGGAATGCAGCTGTTAAAAGCTTGATTTGATCTATAAAAAGGTACATAAAATGTTTGTAATTGCCTAGTTGAAGAAGTTCAGAATAATAACATCTACTATTTATAATATTAAATAACAAAGTAAGATCTCTCTGTTTTCGCCTAGTTTCCAAGGAGAGGATGTTCAGAAACTGTTTCATGAAATCATATTCACAATAAACACCCAATTTAAAAGCTATAGGTCTGAGAAAGGTGTGCTGAACAGTGTCTCTTTTCCTACTATATGTGATATTCTGTGGATACCAAATGCGCTCGGACTAGCCAACAATAAAGAATTACGGGGTCAAACTTTTGATAAAACCCAACATTTTCATGAATTTTTGGACAGCAGCAGATATGTGTTGATTAAAGCTTAAAATGGGATCGAGAATAATTCAAAGGTCTTTAATTTGATATGCAGAATCTACGATATGCCCATTTAAGTTATAGTCAAATGTAGTCGGAAATAGGTGGGAATGATAAAAATGCATATGGCATTCACGTTCATGCCATTTAAAGAACACCATTTTTATTAATTATCGAGGTCATACTGGAGTCTACGGGCTTCATTATGTAAAATTTACATTTTTCAAAAATAAAAACGTTCTGCCCAGGCCGGAAATGTCGTAAACCATCATTGTTGGTGGATATTATATGAGGAACACAACTATGTAGGTTTCATTTAGTTCTACGCAAAAAATATTTTTGTCACAATTGAACGCCGATTTTATTCGATTAATATCAAACAAATAATAAATTTTCAATAAAAACTATCTTAGTTTTATCGGTCATAAGTGTTTACCAGATAGTGGGTCCTAGGATGCTTCTGCTTTAATTTCTTTCAATTCGAAACTAAACGAAACCAAATCTGTTAATATTAATTTTACTAATAAAACTGGTCAACGAATACCAATTAACATAAATAATGCCCAGGTCCCTTATGCTAACTCGACAAAATACCTAGGTATTACATTAGATGTAAGACTTTGCTGGAAGGTCCATGATAAAAAGAAAAGAGTAACGTATAAAATTCAAGAAATGTACTGGTTACTTGGTAAGCATTCCAGCTTGTTTACATATAACAAAATTCTATTATATAAACAAGTTTTCAAACCAATTTGGACCTATGGCATTCAGCTCTGGGATTGTGTCAGATACAGTAATATTCTAATAATCCAGATATTCCAGAACAAAGTATTGAAGAACATTGTCGATGCTCCTTGGTACATTAGAAACAGCGACCTTCATCGAGACCTTTAGATGGACACTGTTTACCAGACTATCACCAGAGTCACGAAAAATTTCTCCACTGACATGTGAATGTTGAGACTATCCAGCTTCTTGATAACACGAACCTGTCAAAAATACTCAATGAAGTGAATCCTTTTGAGTTAGCGAAGTGATTGTGTTAATTACAAAGCAAAGCATTGTGCGGCTTAGTGTTACACGTTAGTTTAGTGTAATTAAGTTAAGGTATACTAGCAAGTAAAACTTTAGTTTTTAAGATTGCAACCCTAGTTAAGTTAGGTTATAACAAAATTACTCATTGATTAACTCTTGATCAGAGTGTAATATTAATAAACGCCCCTTAAGCACTGTTTTTTTTTTAAACAAGTTTTATCGGTCAAATAATTGTATAAATCTAAATTACTAATTAGGCACTAAATATATATAAGCAAAAGAAAAGAGAAAATCTCAACATCCTTGTCGCAGCAAAGTCGAGCAAACGTTTCCCTCCTGAAAACAACTACTCCCTTAGCTAATACCGCAACCGGCATTGCATTATATTAAAAGGAAAATAGCTTTATTAGGAATCATCAGTAAGAAATCGACAAATCTCGACTCGTTTCTAATGAGATTTGAAAGGTTTTGATGCTTGAAAATAAAAACATGAATAAATTAGTACGCATCGGCATTTCAGGTGACTTCCGCTTCTACCAATGTCTTATTTTTTTGGCTTTCCCTTTCTGGTATAAATATTTTGGATCTTTACACTACTATAAATATTTTGTATCTTTACACTACTATAAATAAACAAATAACTCATGCTGTTTGAATTTTTAGGTGAATTCAAGGCGACATAGAAGCAGACACAAATCGAGTCGCCATTTTCGCAGCCACTCTAAGAGCGTAGGTCATACATCAAGGCGACTTTCCAAGAATGGGAATAAAAGAGAAAGCAGTACAAGCATAGATTCCGCTTTACAGATAATAAACGCTTTTACCAGTGCTGGAGATGTCAAATCTTTCAAGCCGAATATGAATCGACGGACCGGAAATGCTGGTTTAGATGGACCGCATATTAATAATTTATTATCGAAAGGAAAATTACGAATTCCTTACAACATTAATAACCATAAGTATGTAATTTTTTTTATTTTTTTTGCCGCAGGTGCCTTTTTTATTAATAGAATAGATTTAGTGAAAAATTATATATTTTGTTTTCTTAGATTTGCATTTACTTATAGGAAGGCATTTAAATGGCTCTGTAAATTGAAAGTTTTCTAAATTTTTTTGGACTGCAAAAAGTATGAATTGTCAATTATTGTTGTTAATTTTTCAAGGTCGTGGACCTTGTTAGAGATGGATTTTCAAGGTTGTTAAGAAAATTAATGTAAACAATTGCAGCCACTTTTCAAAACTTTTTAAGATGAACAATACTTGGTTTGACATAAGGTTGTAAATTGGAAAATCTGTTCCAAAAGCTTGTATGAGTTATGTCGAGGGTTTGTAGCACTTTTGCAATTTTTTTCTTTAAACAAAAATGCTATTTTACAAAAAATAATTATGTTGCGGACATTAAAATACGTTACAAATCTAATATAATGTTGCAGCAGTTTGTTATTATTATTATTTTTTTTTTTTATTTTACAGAAGTGGCAGTGAAGACGAAAATGTATCAGTGACCATATCAGAAAGTACATTCAATATGAAATTAAGCAACCACACTAACAATCTTGATCTGAATGACGAGCTTGCTCTGAAATCTCTTCGTGAAGGTATTCATATAGAAGAACTGAAAACATCTACAGATACCGATGAATCTGAAAAATATAACAAAGATTATGAACAAGAAAAACGAAACAGATGTGGAAGAGATTCGCATTCTAGCAAAAGGTAAATAATTGCTTTAATCTCTTATGTTTAATAGTTTGCTACTATGTACAGATTGTTAACAGTGGCGACCCGTGGTAATATAAAATGGATGTTAAACTTTTAATTTGATGTTCTCTAGAAGAATAAAATAAAATTAAATTGATTTGCATAACAATGTACATAAAATGCATGCGAAAATGATTTTCTTATAATACTTTGAAGGCCTCCTTTTCTTGACGTAACGGCCGTTTCGTCATAGTTTTGACATAATAGCTGATTTACGGAAATATTAAGCAATTTTTTTTTTTCGTATTTTAGATCCAAAAGAAGAATTCCGCGAAAGAAATACTCAGATTCCGATAGTAACGTAAAGAGTGACAGTTCCTCCTGTCCAGAAATCAAACAACTAGTTCAGAGTTCGCTGAACTCGGGCACGTCTGTCGGTAACGATAAAAACCGAGTATCGCGACAGTCGAAAACTTCCATTGACGTTGCCGTTCAAGCGAACGCCCAAGACTTGGACTATGAACTGAAAAATATCAAGAAGAGCGAACATGAAAAACACAAAAGCAAACAAATGAAAACTAAGGAGAATAGGTCGCGCAAGGAAGGTAAGAATTTGGATGTAGAGTCGAACAGGAAAACGAGAAAATCAAAGGAAAAATACATCCGTTATGGTAGCTCGCAGGAAAGAAGGTCGCTCAACAAGGAAGATTCCGATGAGGAGAGTCTTATTCAAAATAACTGTAAGATTGATATTATAAAGATGTAACAATTTTTATGAATTTAATAGTTTCTAATGATTTTATACATTGATGGCTGTCATTTTTACAGTGTGTGACAGCCACTTGGAATAAATTCAGTAGCTCAATTACTGTGGATGTTTGTAAAAAATCCCGAAACGCTTCAATTTGAGATTATAAAATGTGAAAATTTCACACCTACTTCCAACCTCCTTCGAGTGATAGTTTCAACCAACAAATTTTTAAATAGGAAGCAGGGGCTTGTTATACCTCATTTGAAAGGTCTCTTCATTCTTTATTCAAAAATGCTGAGATTTTCATTTTTTTTTCCAAAAACGAACAGTAAAAAATAAATTTTATTTAATTAGTGATAGAGTTTGGTTCTTGATAATGTAAAAAATGACGAAAACCGCGATTTTCATGTAGGAGATCTTCAAAATGCATGCCTGGAACGCCCTGGCAACATTCTAATCTTAAATAACGTCAATCAAAATCTGAAGAGTTATTTTTTTTTATATTGGTGTCATCGGCATTGACTGCTAAGGTCATTAGCCTCGTGTTCTGTGTAGGCTTTGTTACTGTTTCCCAGCCTACTTTAGGAACAGCACTGTTAATTAGAACCCAACAGTGAATGGTCGAGTGGGGAATCCTACCAAGGCATCAGAATTAATTTTAAATAATTAAATTAAAAAAATCCCGGCCAACGGTGGTATTCGAACCTGTGACCCTTGGATCCACAGGCAGAGACTCTACCACTGAGCCACCCACCTCTCTGAAGCGTTATTATTCTTAAATCAGCTCAATCGTGTAGTTTAGTCTTTTATAGTAATTTTTCACTTGTGGGTTTGCTTGACCAGGATATAAATGACTGCACTTTTTATATTGATTTTTGGATATGAACAAATTGTGTTCAAATTTAACAATGTTATTTTTTAGGTCATTAAAGGCAGAATTAATATTTTCATATTTTATCTCTATCGCCCAATACCTGTGGCAAAAAGATTAAAATCAACTAATAAAATTCATGTTTTTTTCCATGAAACTTATATCACGTGTATAATTAGTTCATACTTACTTGCACTTTGAGAAATAAATCATACAGTGTGACTAAAAAATCACGAAAATAAATTGGTGACATAAGGTGCATTTTCATGTATTACCATAGAACATGATTTCTGTTTTTTTGTTGTTGTATTAAACACTAGATAATTATTATAAGTATTTTAATAATAATAATAATAATAATAATAATAAACGTCTTATCCTCTTAGACCAGCATAGCTGTTCCACTCAACCGAGTACCAAATTCAAACCCTTTATACAGTGTGTCCCTAGATAGGTGAAACGTCTCTTAAAGAAGGTAAAAAATTCTCGATTTAAATTTTCCATTTTTTTGGGGTTCAGTCCTTCTTGGTTAAAGACTAATTTTTGAGAAATCAAATCAAATGTCTTGGAAATTTTCAAAAATCCTATTTTTCTCAAGAGTATAGTGCCTTTTATGTTGCAGATATGGCCAAGTTATTAAGAAAAGTTGTTTAGAATCATCATCTAGGTTCATATACCAAATTTGAAATTCCTCTGCCAACTATGATTTTTCATTTATTTTGTCAATATAAAAGATCAAAGTTGGCCGACATTTTTGAAATTTGGGATAAGGACTTAAATTTTTGATTTCAAGCAACTTTTCTATAAAATATACAATAGAAGTACTAGCTGACAAATCTTGTTCAAATGTTTTATATTTAAAAGAAGAAAACGCTGTAGATTGACTTTTAAGGCAAGATTAGGTTGTTATATTCGAGATTTACGAATAATGAAAGCTCATGTTATTTATAGTGTAGCGGATCCCATTACTGGGTATTATTGTACATGTAAGACTGATGCAAAAAAAATAATAGGCACGTGAGCTCATATTTCAAGTATTTTGTTATAGTACTATTTTAGTTGCTGCTAAAAGATGAATCAGGTTTTGACAGCGGATAAAGCTTATTGGTTTATAAATGTTTAATTTATGTAATAATACATCGGTAGTTAATAAATTCAAATAACACGTACAACACTCTTGACAGCAATTGAATCGGTGAGTTCGAAAACCGTACATGTCCAAAATCATCCTTCCGAGAAAAAAAAAACCATTTAACGACTCACGAATATGTACGGTTTTTCGCCTAATTTTACGGGTGTAATCAACTGTACTACGTTAACGGATAAGTATCTAGTACGGTTTTTAAACTCAATCGATGAAGAGACAAATTTTAAACAAAATGGCTATCTTACTTTAAAATGTCAAATTTTGGACTTATTTTGGATTATTTTTAATGTTTAAAATAAATTTGAACATCGCAGCATTTTTGAATAGATAATTAAAAGACCTTTGAAATGCGGTATCACAAGCCCCTACTTCCTATTTACAAATTTGGAGGTTGCAACTGCCACTCGAAGAGTTTTGAAGGTAGGGGTGAAATTTTCATGTTACAGGATGTCACTTTATGATCTAAAATTGACGTGTTTCGGGATTTTTTTTATAAATATGCACAATAGTGAATTTATTCCATTTGGCTGTTACACACTGTATAATTAATTAATATTATAACAGGTAGCTTTGATTAGTTAAAATAAAAAAAAAAAACATAGAGCGTGTTAAGATATAATTAAGTTTCGAACAAGACTGATCCCTCTTAGTTAGTTTCAGTTTTCTAGGGTTCTCTAAATCTCGAATTGGCTCTTCACACTGAGATTAAAATAAACACATAAATTGCTGATTTTTATATCAATAAAAATTGTTTAATATTTAAACTTTGAATTTTAATTAGTATGTATAAGGCAAATTTATTATTTCAACATTGTGATCTCTTTAAATGAAATTAATTAATTGATGTAAACAAAAGGTTTTTCGTCAACTTTGATCGAACTATTGTGATAAAATAATCAAAAATTTGTGACATTTAATATTTTTTATACTAAAATGAAATGGAACTTTTTCTTTAAAATAATTTAAAAAAAGTATTATCACTACACCTAGTTTATTATTGTAATTTTTGTAATATACGTTTTAAACAGTGGTTTTTTTATTTTCTTTTAACTTTTGCCTGTTTCTAACTGGTTTAATCACTACATACACTTACTAAAAATGTATATGAAACGCTCTGATGTTCCAACCACAGGTACAGATCTTTTTCGAACTAAAACATCTATGGTCTCAAAACCTAGTATTTGGATCCACAAAAAACTACAATGTGGTAATAATTTTAGAAACCAGTATCAACTAATTTCATTATTCTCCAACTAAGGCATTTGCTCTTGTAAGGTGGTTTCTTGTCTCTATGAAATCCTTATTTTTTCGCCTTCTGTTCAGAATTTACTCGGGTGCCAGCTTTATTAATGCAATATACTCCACAACCTTTCGATACGTCAAAACTATACCGGTAGTCTCAGATGGAGATACAAAAATTCCAGGAGTCAAGTTGATCGATTCCTGGGATAAAACGCGAACTATCCCAGGGTAACGAGATAGAAGGTTTGTATTCTGCTAGTTTTTTTTTTCTATACGAAAAAAGCTCTCAGTGCCTGACCTAATTCTATGAACATAATAAAATTATCAAGTCTACTTACATTACGATACAGTGCAACCCAAATATGAACGCTCTTTGATTGTCATGGGGTTTATTTCCTGAAATTAATTCTTGTAAGTCTGGATCATTGGGTAAAACCATCACATTAAGGAGTTTCAGCAAACAGTGTCGTTATTAATCCCACAACGATGGATATCCGAGGTCTTGTGAGATGTAGTACCTTGGCAGCCATGGTATTTTGTGGTTATCCACCTGTTCACTTTCGGTCGAGCAGAGGTTTTGCTTATCTCAAATACAGGTTCGGGCCCTGTGAATGGTTAATCCCTCTTTGACGAAATTCATCAGTGTTGAATAAACATTCAACATAATATACGTAAATTAAAGTACAGAACAAAATTTGAATTAAAACATAAAAAAAATCTGACACAGTCACCCAAATTCGTTCCCAAGTTGCGACAAGTTGACGTCACAAAAAGTCATTAAATCGGGTATAAAAGCCCGATCCCGAGATTCATTAAGAAATCAAACTCAGTTCAGTTGATTTCAAACTCCAGTCATTCATTACTCTTCAAATCTATTTCAAGTTCAGTATTAAGTACCTCCTATCGACACTCCTACGTCGCGATGTTCTACGTCTCGACGACCTATATCTTCCGACGTTGTCCGTCCCGATGCCCTATATCCCATTCGATGCTCTACGTCACGACGCCATCTCTACGGCCCGCCGCTCTACATTCCGACGCTCAACGTCCCGGTACTCAACGTCTCGATGTTCCTTCAATATTTCCAAATCAGCAACACTACCATGTGTCAACAATATAAAAAAAGCAGAAATAGATGGTGAGTCAATAATTTAAAAGAGGTTTATTATTGAATTAAGTATTCATTATTATAAAAATGTATTATTCATTAACGTCACATATGGGCCGATGGATAGACACGTCCCAGTATGCATTTGCCGTTTTATTATACCGTCCTAAAACTATTTAAGAATTTAGTCTACCGAAGTGCCAATGCACCCTCACTAATAGCGACTAAATATCAGCCGATTGGGGTAAATGACACTTCGGACGGCTATACACATCCGATGCATTTTTTACATCTCGAGCATCTGTTTATCCACATCGGACACATCTACATCTGCGTTTGTTTATCCGAGATATACCTGTCCAGATTACATTTTTTACATCTCGATTTGAAATGAGATGTGAATAAGATATACCATGCCAGAAAGTAGGGGTTCTGTGAAGCCAAGTTTATCGATTTATCCTTTGTTTATGCTAGCGTGAATATAAAAGTAATTAGTGTGTTTAATTTTTGTTTAGATTTCAAATTTAGGTTGATTTCTAGTCTCAAAATTCAAATTTAAAAAACTTCTAACTTGTCATTTTATCACGTGACCAATAAAGTCTAGAACGCTTGTTTATTAAATCTACATTTAGATCTAATCCTCTATCACGTGATAAAAAATTCACAACATCTCGGATGCATCCGATGTTTATATCCAAACGCCGCAAAATATGCTTGATGTTACTGCAGGATTGGACTATCTTAAATAATTATCTCTCAATCTTCGAACCGTAGGTAGATCTGAACATATAAGGGGTAGTTCGCTGGTATTGATCCGGCTCTATCTAGTAGGACTAGACTACATAACCCCCCTAGTTGAGGCTGTAACATGAGGGATATCCGTCAGTTGCAACGACTCTTATCTCAGTAAGGGCACCTATATAAAAAAAAGAACCGATGAAACAAAGATAGTGCAATTCTGAGATCGTCTGCTGTATTTAATGGCAAGTAGCCTATTTGTTTGGGCGGGACACGTGAGGTCTTGATGAGAAATATAATTTCTTATTCCCCAATTTAAGTAATGGTATCGCTATTTTATTTGAGGGTAAATAAAATAAGTTAAATATAATTTTGAGTTTTATTTCAAGTAAATACTCCTCTTAAGGTTTTTGTAATATTTTGAATATGCTTTTCCCACTTTAAATTACAATAATACAATAAATATTTGATATGATTTGTTTTGTTTATATTAATATCTAGCATTACTGATTTTAATTGGTAGGCATGCTGTTAGCATACGATGCAAAGGGTACATAGATACATTTTACATTTGTTGGGTCACTTTTTGTAAGTATTGGTTCCAAGTAAGTTCAAACAAACAATACTTCGCAACATTTTCTCAACAAAATAGGAGGGATGCCGTCAGGCCCAGCATTTTTATTGGTATAAAGACTATTCATTTTTGAAGTAACTTCGCAGGGAATAAAGGTATGTGTACTTAGAGTTGAGGCAAAAGCTACTGGAGTGGGAATTACGGAAGTTGTGATGTCAACAGTATTTTAGCAAGAAGTGATGTGCAAAAGTAGGTATTAATTATTCCATTAGGATTAGTTAGCTCATCGTTGTTGTATCCCATTAGATTTGGGAGACCGTTATCACATTTTAGACTCCTTATAAATGTTCAGAATAACTTAATTTTATAAAGAAAAATCTGTTCCTTGTCAGTAATTTAAGAAAATCATGGGGCCATATTATATTTATCAATATCTTATTATTAGAATAAAACAAGTGTCTACAATGAAAAAATGTGCATTTTAAAATATTACAATTTATAGGTAGTCTATAAAAATATACTATTTAAGCCTTATACATATTATTGCTATCCCATTGGTATTTTACACATTTAATTTGCAAAGCATTCCAAAATAACTGACAAAATTTAACATACTAATTATATGTACATATGGCAGTTAAATCACTAATTCTATTTAGATAATTATGTATTTTTTTTTATATACAGGGCCGACGAGAGGGGGGCTGGCGGAACAAATTCCCGGGCTCGGGCACAAGGGGGGCCCAGCAGCTTTAGGCGAGGGCGTTTTAATTTTGTAGAAGTTCGCCACAATAGGGAGGCTATGGTTTATGAAAAATACAAGATGATGATTTTTTTCTTTAGATTTCACAAAAAAGGATCTAAGTTTTTGATTGAGGACTTGTTTTTTGTTTAGAGATGTGATATCGAAAGGGCTTAATTTTTTTTATAAAATTGTCCTGGGGCCCCACCTGGCTCTCGGCGTCCCTGTTTATATATACATCAATACCATCAACAGTTAAGAAAAACACAGTTTATTAAATAAGTGACACATTGAATTATTAAATATGTCTGTAGATGAATATCTTCTAATTACATGTGATAGGTAATACAATGCATTGTATGGTAAGTATGTAGTATACTATACAGGGTGTCCCTGTGTATGTTCCTTAAAGCCTTATTTTTTTTTACTAAAGCAGGGGCAGACCTACCTATAAAAACAATTAAATATACAATCAAAACAGAGGTTCAAGGAAGTATTTGCAAAGATGATAAAAAAAGTACTATTTTGTTATATATTTTTTTGTATATAATCTTGTCAAAATAGATTTTTCTGTGTTATTTCTTAACAATTGCATGTCAACTTTTAAAATAGTTATTACAAGCCATTTAAAAAATAAATTGGACTCATTTTACAAATTAGGCATCCCAATTTTCCAACTCCAAGTTAAAATTTCTAATGTTATCTATGTGTATATCAGTTGAAAATGGCTCTTTTGAATCATCATATATTTGAATCTTTGAAGCATCGCATTCTAGCAAGTGCTTAGCTAAAACTTCTTTATTTGGAAATCTATGAAGAGCATTGTAAGGACATGCAACAAAATTGGGATAATTAACCATACAGCGAATTATATGTCTCTGCAGAGCACTTTCAGATATTATGTGCGAAGGATTAAATGGGCATTTGACCAATTTCTCGGACCTAAAAATATAAATAATTAAACTATTTTCCAAATACATACAAAAGGAACACACATATTACAAAGATTATTATTCACTTCACTCGATTCAAATATTCGAAAACTGAGAGGTTATGGTGTGACATCAACCACAACACAACAACAGCACGAAACAGACGCAAACAGACAACAGACGTGACAACAATCAACAACTTTCAGCTTTGTTCGTGGTTTGTCGTTTGTTCTCGGTTTATCGCATGGTGTGTATTTTGTAACAAAAATTTTACTATTTTATAAATTAAATTTCGGGTTTGGAAAATATTCTTCGCACTAAACTAGTTTTACGCATTTTTTTCAGGCTCTACTCGAATTTGAGTATTAAACGTTTACTCTTATTTGGGTCTTCCTCTATTTGAGTAATTGGAAATACCTACCTACCTACCTGTAATTTTTAATTATAAAGGTCCTACTTTGTTAATTGTTG